TATATCCAGACAAAACTATAATTTAAAAGATACATGCACCCCTATGTTCAAAGCAGCACTATTCAGAATAGCCAAAACATGGAAACAACCTAAATGTCTCAACAGATGAATGGATTAAGAAGATGTGGTACATATATACAATGGAATACTACTCAGCCATAAAAGTGAAAGAAAGAAAGAAGGCCATTTGCAGCAACATGGAGGGACCTAGACATTATCATACTAAGTGAAGTAAGTCAGACAGAGAAAGACAAATACCATATGATATCGCTTATATGTGGAATCTAGAATATGACACAAATGAACTTATCTACAAAACAGAAACAGATTCACAGGTATTGATAACAGACTTCTTGTTACCAAGAGGGAGGGGGGTGGGGAAGGGATGGATTGGGAGTTTGGGATTAGCAGATACAAACTACTATATATAAAATAGATAAACAATAAGGTCCTACTGTATAGCACAGGGAATTATATTCAATATCCTGTGATAAAACATAATGAAAAAGAATAAAGAAAAGGATGTATGTATATGTATAACTGAATTATTTTGCTGTTCAGCAGAAATTAACACAACACTGTAACTCAGCTATACTCTAATAAAATAAATTTTAAAAAGAAAAGGTAAAGGCAGAACCCCAAAGGAGGCTGAGATGGAATAACCAGAGAAATAGAAGGAAAACCAGATTGTAACATAAGGGAGCCAAGGGAACAGTCTGAGAGAGCAAACTGGACAACGAGGCCAGAAGAGTGTCCCTGGGATTTAGGAATATGGAGGTCATTGGTAACGTTAGGATTGCCTGAGAATGGAAGGAGCAGAGTTCAGATTATAGTGGGTTGAAGAGTGAGGCGGAGGTGAGGCACTAAAGACAGCAGGTGTAGACAACTCTTTTAAGAACTCTAACTGCAGTGGGAGGAAAGAGATGGGGCAGTGGCTGGAAAGGGACGTGGGATCCAGGGAATACTTTTTTTTTTTTTTTTTGGCCGCACCACACGGCATGAGGGACCCTAGTTCCCTGACCAGGGGTCGAACCAGTGCCCCCAGCAATGGAAGCACAGAGTCTTAACCGCTGGACTGCCAGGAAAATCCAGGGAATACTTTTTAACAATGGGAAAAATCCAAGTGCGTCAAGTGATGAAAAGAAGCTAATAAAGAAGGGGTTGGAGATACTAAGAAGGGAGATAATAACCTGAGAAGGATAACTCTGAGCGGACAGAAGATGAGACTGGCCTTGGATGGGAAGAGAGACACTTCCTTCAGTGTAACGTGGAGGAAAGTATCAATAGAAAGAATACATGTAGAAAAGGTCCACCTCTAGTTTAGGGCAGACTGATTTACCTACAACTGTTCTAGTCACAGAGACAGATGTGACTACTTGTTAGTAGTGTCGGTGGTGGGAAGCTGATTTGTTCCCATCTGACGGCTAATTTCTCTGTAAAGTTGGAGGTAAGTCATCTGTTAAATGTTGATGGGAAGTGAAGAATAAAAGTTTGAAATAACAGCTGCTGAAGAGTAGGAAAAGCAGCATACTAAAGAAATACAGTGAGAGTGCCATGTGCAGGAAAAGCACCAAGTATATAAAGTACCTGGCACATAACAGGTGCTCCATAACCAGTAAACAATATCTATCAACATTACTATTGTTAACATTGGCCAATATTACATAGTCACTGGCCAGACAGAAGAGTCTACTCTGTAGACAAAGGATTACAAACCACAGCAGTGCGAGTCTGTAGCCTTTATGAATACTAATAGATCATACTGTAATTTCATATCTTACCATTTATCATGATATGTCTGCTATTAGCTCTTACATTTTTATGTATGTTGGTTTTGTCTCACCATATAAAGTTTTTTGAGAGGAAGTACTGCATGTTACTAAGTCTCTGTATCCCTCAAAGTTTCGTATTATTTGTAAAGTAATTTGTCATGGGTTTCCTCTGGTTACAATGGCAAGCCACTGTTTCCTTGCTTTAAAATGGTCAAATAAACTTGTACCTTCCTGTTTTATTTGTGCAGGGTAAAATTTTGGGGAGCTAAGAACTGTATGAATATGACCGTCCACAATAGGAACTATCCGGTTTTCACAAACAAAAGACCTACTACTTACAGATAAAATGTTAGCTGGCTAGCACTGCACAAGAGGCTAAGTTAGAGAAAATATTGTGACCTTTCTTTCCATAGTTTCATTCTTCTAAGACACTAAGGATGTGAGGTGTAAACTGAAATATACAGAGATGATGTTTGTTCACCTTAAAGAGTTCAAAATATTTTGGGCTTTTATTCCTACCTACACTTTTATCATGTAAGTCAATTGTAGCTGGAACGGGAATATGGCAATCCCGGTGAGGAGGAGGGCAATATTTCTGTAATAAAACATGGATGACTGGTGCCAGTTTGTACGATGGGTGGTAGCAGTAGTTATTTACTTGTCAAACTTTATAACAGAATTCAAAACTTCTTTGGGTGGCAGGTCCTCTCCCAACAACTAAAACACAGAAATATATCTTACAGCTGAAACCTAACTGATATTAAAAGGAAACATTTTATTATATAACAGGAGTTGAAGTGTTTGAAAATTTATACTGAAAAACCAAACACCATTCTGGACACAATGAGAAAGCTTTACAATCAAAACTACCGTTTACTTTTCAGAAATCTGACTGAAAACAAATGGTTAAACGTGCTGCAAACAAACGAGTCGTTCTGTCTATTGTGGCGGCTAAACAAAGTGTGAGCAATGGAACCACTGCCCTAATGGTGACTGAAGCAGACGAGGGAAGAAGGGAGCTCATGAGCAGGATACTCAAACGCAGGCCAGGAGTCCATCTATGGTCCACTTCCAGTCAGTCTGACAGGTCACTCTGATCCAGCACGATTATCCTGAACAAAAAAGGGAGTTTCGAGTTGGTGTGATGTTTCTTAAAGACACAAACAACAGCCTCTTTTTATTCAACTGAATTCAAAGGAAAGAAACTTTGATCTTTATAATCAAGCGAGATTATGATAAGTTAGTGTATCGTGGAAATGTGAAGCATTTCGAGAGCAGCATCTTCTGTGCTCCCTCCATCTAAAACCGTTCTTGTGGGACCTCCCTGGTGGCGCAGTGGTTAAGAATCTGCCTGCCAATGCAGGGAACACGGGTCCGATCCCTGGTCTGGGAAGACCCCACATGCCGCGGAGCAATTAAGTCCATGCGCCACAACCACTGAGCCTGCGTGCCACAACTACTGAGCACACGCGCCACAACTACTGAAGCCCACGCACTCTAGGGCCTGTGTGCTGTAACTACTGAGCCCGCGTGCTGCAACTGCTGAAGCCCACGTGCCTAGAGCCCGTGCTCCGCAAGAGAAGCCACCACAATGAGAAGCCCGCTCACCGCAATGAAGAGTAGGCCCCGCTCGCTGCAACTAGAGAAAGCCCACGTGCAGCAACAAAGACCCAAGACAGCCAAAAAAAAAAAAACACACTCCTTGTGCTGTCTACCAATTATGTAATCAAAGTTGGCATTAATTTCCCCTTGTATTTTAATTAACTATAAACATTAGCATTTTTAAAACTGAGTAACTCTGAATTCAAGTCTTTGTCATTAATGTTTATTTAGATACTGGTACATGTTTAAAGTCTGTTCATGTTGTCTATAAACAGTGGACTTTGACTTACAAACATCTGACATCTCATTACCTGGATGGTTCGGACCAACCCAGTCGCTTCCAAAAACAGGGTTTTAGTTCCTCTTGATAGGAGGAAGAAAAAACAACTTGATTACTTTCTGGGTCAAAGGGTGAGAGCATTCAGAAGTCACATTAGTACTCTCTCTAGTTTAGGGTGGACTGTTTTCTCTCCATCAATTGTTTTCTTCTACAGAGATAGAATCTTTCTAAAAACACAGATACTGGGCTTCCACTCCTAACATCCTGCAGCTCCCTGTCATAGCAATGGACACAAATGATGCTAATTTCACAAAGTCCCTGCATTATGTTCTCGGTGAATTCAGTGCTAGCTGAACGCTCACACACTCTGGGCCTTGTGCCAGTCAGGGTCCTGGAGGAAACAGAATGCACCCCCGGGCCCTTTAATGAAGTGACTACTTACAGAGGTGTTGTCAGAATTAAGGGAGCAAACAAGGTATGGCAAAGCATCCAGCAACTAGCAGCAGTGGGAAGCCATTATCACCCCTAAGTCTGAAGAGACTGGGGTTGCGGGGGAGAGGCGGGGCAGAACAGTTACTGGAACCCAGTGAGAGCTAGAACTGGGAAGGATGGGCGGCACTATAGAAGCTGTGCTTGTTGAGGGACATCACTTCCACACAGAGATGAGGTGCTGAGGTAGGCAGTAAGGCAAGTAATATTCCAATTATCTGATCTTCTGCTGGGGTCTCCCATTGGCCAACAGGAAGCCGGCTGGCCAGGAAGCCCAGCAGATTCAGTTCACAAGGGTCAGCATCCTGGGGCACAAAGCAGGGCAGAAAAAGGAGAAGAATGAGAATGGACTGGGGAAGGGATAAAAGGGATACCAGATGATCTGAAAGAGTTAATGATGCTAACTTCCTGAGTAGGAGGAACTTAAATATAGGAGGGCATCATTTGTGAATGGCGCCTTAAAGCTCTATCAAAACAGTTTTGAAATTAAGGTTTGTACTTTTCACATTACTTGTAGACTCCACTTAAATTCCACAATTTATGATTTCTTATCTTTTGAAGACACATTAGAAGGAAAACGTCTTTCCAGACAATATGAGCCTGGCTGAAGGCTTGCTTTAGAAATAGAATTGGCTGTTGTTACTGTTTTGTGATAAAGACATAATTGGCATTTAACAGAAAACCTGGGCTGAACTACAGGGGAAAAGTGTAGGAGGATTATGTATAGCATCTGGGAAACATTTCTAAATAACTTTGATGCTCATGGAAGCCCAAGGACTCCAGGCTACATTGTAAACGAACATCCAATTCATACCTTCTTCAGAAGTCCCTAAAAAGCTTTCTGATTTCCTTCTCTCTGGCGTGATGCTTTCTTCCCCTTTTCTCTTCTTTTCACCAACTTCTTGATCTTTGGTATTTGTCTCCCTTCAATGACAATGATTTTGGTCATTAAACCATATGCACAATGGCCAGGGGAACAGGACTGCGCTCCCAAGGAAATATAATAATAACTAGAGCTGACTGTGCGTTCCCTGTGGAACAGTTCAAGTGCTGCAATGTATATTAACTCATTTAATTCTCATCACAACTATATAAGGTAGTTAAGTGATGAGAAAACTGAGGCACAAAGAAGTTAAATTAATGCCCAGTAAGTCCTAGGGCTGGGATGAACCCAGGAAGTCTGACTCAGACGCTGCTCTCAACCACCAGGCTGTATTGTCCCAAAGGAAAAAAGCATTTCACTTATGTTGTAATTGGTGTCCTTTTTACAACCACATGTATTTTTATTACCTTATCTTCATTTCCTAAAACTCTCAATATCTAACTGCAGTATCTAACAATTGAAGACCACCTTTGTCAAACCAGTAAGCAGAAACCAACTCCCCACTCAACTATAAGCTCCCTAAGGGCAGAGACAGCCTATCCCTCTGCATCTCTAACCCCCAGCACAGTGCTCGGCTCACTGACAGTGCTCAACTGATGATGGATGAATCAAACGGACATGGTTTAGGGATTTTTCTTCTGTTTTCATCTGGTGGATATTCAAAATAAAATATGCAAAGTGAGAGAGAAAATAAAGCCAGCTACGGTGAGAAGGATTTTTTTTCCTCCTAACCTCTCATCACTAATAGAATCACAGGCTCTAAAGTTGGAGGAGGTTATCTATTACCTCCGTCCAAATGCCCTGGACCAGAGAGTCATGCAGCCTACGCTCGGGTGGGAGGAGCTGCTGTTAAAGTTAGTATAGAGGCAGCTGTTTCTCTATCAGATTGCTGTGGCCATTAGAAAGCTTGTGCTTTACTGAATAAAAATCTCTTACTCGGCAGTTTCTGGTCAGTGGTTCTGTCCTCTGGGGCAGAAGAGAGTAAGCTGACTCTCTTCACTTTACAATATTTCAGGTATTTGGGGGCAGCTATCAAATTCTCTACTCCATTTGCTCTTCTCAGACTGAGCCTTCCCAGCTCCTTCAGCTGTTCTCACATGACAAGGTTTCCAGACTTCTAGCTGTTCTGTGGCCACCCTCTTCTATTTGTTGACTGTTAAAATGTGACACCCCAAAGGAGCCCCACATGAGTTCTAGAAGTCCTCTAGCTAGCCTAAGACATCACCTTGACCTGGGCTGTACATTTCTGTCTGTTCAGCATCAGTGCTGCACTGACCTTTTCAGCAACTGCATCAAGCTGAGGTCTCATGGAGTCGCTGTCCATGTCTTCTTCAGGGGGAATTTCTTGAATTCTTACCACATCTCAAAATGCATGCTAAATGCTGGGCGTATAAAAATAAGACGTACTTCCCACCTTCAATGAAATTACAGTTGAGTAGGAGCTTCCGATCAAAAAATGCTCCATTAGGTCAGATCTCTCACATTCTATACTTTTGGATCTAAATGCTCACTTTTATCTTTCAGGGAAATCTAACATTTCCACCTGTCAAGACCATTTTGAAGCCACAGTTTATCTGCCCATCACATTAGCATTTATCCTTAGATTTGTGTTATCTAAAAATTTGATAAGCATGCCTTTTCTGATTTAATTCGAATGACCGATGAAAATGTTGAAGGTGACAGGGCCTAGACACAGCAATCTTAGAGGCCTGCTTCTATACTAATATCAGTCTGCTAGTCAGTATCTTGAGCACCGTGGGTGGCTGGAGGAAGAGGGGGGAGACAGAAGGCGGGGCTGGCTTATCTAGAGCAATGTAACGCCATCACCAAACATTCCTTCTCCGAGGAGTCCATGTACTTCCTAAAAAACTAAAATCTATCTTTTTCAAAAAACTGAACTAAAATCTAGTCCCCCTTCCTGAAAAAAGAAAAAGAAAATGATCCCCTGATGGAGAACAATAACCTTGCCGAGCACTTGGGGAGACCCTGTAGCTCCGTGCTGTCCTCAGGCGACTGCAGCCACCTTTCCAGGTCCTCATCAAGCGTAGAGTGGGCTCTGTGCAGGGGCAAGTGAAGAGAATTGAGACAGCAGTCACTCCCCTTCTCCCCTGACAAGGAGGCATAGCACTCTAGGGCGGGAAAGGACCTTCAAACTCCTGCTTTCACTATACCCATGAGAAAATGAGAGCTCGGTGGGACTGTACCTGGAGTTGTAGTGGTCACTTAGATCCGATTTAAATGTGCACCAGAACCCTCCTCTTGACAAAAAACCCTCCTCTTGACAAAAAAGCCCAAAGTGTGATATTAGACTCTGTCTCAATTCTAGATCATTACATCAATTTCCACCTGAGGCTAGAAATGCACACTCATTCCCACAAGTTTTTCAGATTAAGAACTGCCTCTGAGGCTACTGGATGCAGAGAATGTGTTTCCAGAAGGCCTGAAAAGTCCCAACCATCTGAAAAAATATCTTCCACTCTGGCTTGGTGCCAAGGACTGAGATGACTGAGCATCTGTGGGCATCCACCTGTGTCTAGCATAGCCAGCCCTTCTGAAAAAGGAAGAGACAATGATAATAGTAGCTAACTTTTGATAATGCGCAAAGCACTTCATATTTGTATAACCAAATGTAATTTGGCCTTCTTGAGCTACTCTTCTTTTGCCTTAAATAATGGCTAGATATTTACCGAAGGTGTTTGGGGGAGATGGAATGAATGGAGTTACATCGTACATTATAGACAAAAGGTTTATAAAACTTTTAAAAGTTTACCTTCCTCCCCCTTTGCCTCTTTGTCTTCTCTGTCTCACCCCCACACACACACAAAAAAACCTCTCCCCACTTCCTCTCAGGTCCCAGGGCTCTAGTCTCCTCACTTCCTGTCCAGGTCTCTCTCTTTTCCTTCCTTGTGGAGAATAGTTTAGCCCTTGAAGAGTGTGACAGAAACTGGATTCACTACCCAAAAGTTATTCATAACACTCTCCTCCTTTACCTTCCTCTTCTACAGCAGCTGAAAGCTAAAAACTCAATTTCCAGTCTCCCTGGCAACCAAGGGTGGCCATGCGCCACATCTGGCCAAGGAGATATAAGTAGGCATCTGCTGAGAAGGGCTTCTAGGAAAGCTTTTGCTTTCCAGATAGAAAGACATAAAGTTGGCTAGACTATTCCTTTGCCCCACCCTCTTATTTCTGCCTGGAGTATGGATAGCAGCCACCTTGTCCAGGAGTTGACAAGCCTGAAAACAAAGGCCAACATGCTATGTCTGGCAGAGCAGAAAGCTCAGAAGAGCCTAAGTCCCTGGTAGCATCATTGAGCTGCTATGCCAGCCATGCCCTGCCAACCTCCGGGCTTCATGTCATGTGAGACAAACTCATTTAAACACGATGGTGGGGTTTTCTAACGTTTGCAGCTGAAAGTATTCTGCAGGGCTTCCCCAAGGATTTGCTGGTCCAGGATGGGGATGAAGCAAGTGGTGTAAGTGTAGATCCATAGCCTCTCTTTCTTTAAAACGTAAATATTTTGTTCATCATGGATTTTTTTTTTGCATTAGTATTGATTTTTAAAAATATGGCATCAAAATAGTACTTTTCTTGACTTCTGAGTTTTTTGGTGCCTCCTTCAATTTTGTGCCCAAGGAGTGTGTTGCACTCACCTCCCTCCAGTCCTGGCCCTGAATAACTGTTCGGACAAAGCAAGAAATGTTAGGAGGCAAAGGAGGTGATCTGAAGTGGTTTACCTTACAACACAGGTCAAAGGAGAGCTCCAAGTCAAGAATGGAATTGGGTTTCTTGAGGCAAACTTGTGTTTTCAGACTGAATTGTCTGGATGGTTGCCTCCATCTTCTCTTATTTGGCTAGAAAGATCTAAAAATTCTCTTTAAAATGCTTTGAAAGAAACTGAAACCGATGTTTCCCTCACAAAATGAAGTAAAAACAACAAACAACAACTTTACAAGAAAAAAATAAATAATCCTATTAAAAAATGGGCAAAGGACTAGGATATTTCTCCAAAGAAGATATATAAATGGCCTTCTGCATATGAAAAGATGCCCAACATTGCTAATCATTAGGGAAATGCAAATCAAAACCACAATGAGATATCACCTCGCACCTATTAGGATGCTACTATCAAAAAAACAGAAACACCACCACCCTGGTGGTCCAGTGGTTAAAACTCCGCGCTTCCACTGCAGGGGGCACGGGTTCAATCCCTGGTCGGGGAACTAAGATCCCGCGTGCCGCTTGGCACAGCCAAAAAAAAACAAAACAAAACAGAAAATAACAAGTATTGGCAAGGATCTGGAGAAAGTGGAAGCCTTGTACACTGTTTGTGGGAATGTAAAATGGTGCAGCTGCTGTGGAAAACAGGATGGCATTTCCTCAAAAAAATAAAAATAGATTTACCATATGATCCAGCGATACCACTTCTGGGTACATATCCAAAAGAGATCAAAGCAGGGTGTGTTGAAGAGCTATTTGCACACTCACACTCAGAGCAGCATTACAGTAGTCAAAAGGTGGAAGCAACCCAGTGTCCACTAACAGATGAATGGATAAACCAAATGTGATACACACACACACAATGGAATTCAGCCTTAAGAAGAAAGGAAATTCTGATGCATGCTACATGGATGAACCCTGAAGACATTATGCTGAGTGAAATAAGCCAGTGACAAAACAACACCGGAGGGAGATGCAAGAGGGAGGGGATATGGTGATATATGTATACGTATAGCTGATACACTTTGTTATACAGCAGAAACTAACACACCATTGTAAAGCAATTATACTCCAATAAAGATGTTCAAAAAAAAAAAAGAATAGTGAAACTCAGGGAAACAGAGAGTAGAACTGTGGTTGCTGGGGACTGAGGGGAGGGGGAAATGGGGAGTTGTTGTTTAATGGGTATAGAGTTTCAGTTTTGCAAGATGAAAAAGTTCTGGAGATCAGTTGCACAGCAATGTGAATATGCGTAGCACTACTGAAATGTACACTTAAAAAATTTGTGTTATATGTATTTTATAACAATTAAGGACTTTTAAAAAAAAAACAAAAAAAACCTTTTAGGAATAGGGGCTATAAGGATAGTATGACAAAAGACCATTATTTCCTTATTTGTCAATATCAGAAGAAAAACTAATATAAACTAACACTATAGTTTTTTCAAACACTTTAAAAAAAAAAATCCAGCTTTTTCTGTTACCTCTCTGTATCCTCTTCTAGATCCTGAGTTTCTTTGGTCCAAAGCATACTGCTGTCTTCTTTATTACTGTTAGTTTCTTGTTCTTCTAAATGCCTTTGATCTAAAAACAGTTGAAAGACTTGACTTTAGAACAAAAAAAATTTTGAGAAAACCTGCCTTAAAATGGAGTGCAGGACTTCCCTGGTGGCACAGTGGTTAAGAATCTGCCTGTCAATGCAGGGGACATGGGTTCAATCCCTGGTCCGGGAAGATCCCACATGCCGCGGAGCAACTAGATCTGTGCGCCACAACTACTGAGCCTGTGGTCTAAAGCCCGCAAGCCACAACTAATGAGCCCACGTGCCGCAACTACTAAAGCCCGTGCGCCTAGAGCCTGTGCTCTGCAACAAGAGAAGCCACCGCAGTGAGAAGCCCGCACATCACAATGAAGAGTAGCCCCGCGCTCGCCGCTACTAGAGAGAGCCCGTGTGCAGCAGCGGAGACCCAACGCAGCCAAAAAAAAAAAAAAAATGGAGTGCAAAAAATTAAGGCTAATCAGTGGACCCTGAAGTGTGCAATGCACGGGTCCCCCTCTTCCCACAAGAGCAGGGGGCCAGGTGGCAATCTGCAGGGCGCCTGAAGCCACAGCAGCTGCTTCTGAGGTCTGGGGAGCTCTCTGCCAGGCGAAACGGCAGGAAGCCTTGCCTGTGCCAAGGCTCGAGAGAGACAGAGGGAAGAAATGGCACATAAAAGAGGAGGCAGGAGTCCCTGAAAACAAATTGTACAGATTTATTCTGGGGGGCCACCCTCTTCCCACTTGTTAGGTGTTTCCAGATTGGAGCCAGGGAAGGAATTTGGGTGGGGAAGGGTAGTGCCCTTTAATGTATGCCAGGCATTTTACATATGCTATCTCATTTCATCCTGCCAGCAGTCCTATGAAGGGCAGGAGACTAACATTTGTTAAGTGTCTTACAACGTACCAGGCACTATGCATGAACATCATTAGGTAGGAGTTATCATTCTCATTTTACAGATGAGGACAACTGAAGCCCAGAGACATTCAACAGCCTGTCATACCAAAGTAAGCAATGGAGTCAGAAATGAGGTGGAGTGTGCCTGACCTCAAGGTCCACACTCACCCAAATGTACCACGGTGCTTCCAAGGACAGTTACAGCAAAATCTGATGAGAAAGAACTGGGGATTTGGCTTACCACTTGCAGCGATGCCCAGATGACTTGCTGTGTTCTCATCCAACACTGTGGATGAGGCCTGCTGCCGCTTCAGGTGCTCTGTCACAACATAGAGCAGAAAGCAACTTATTTCTTCTTTTGCATGTCACATTATCCTCTAGGGCAGTGGTTCTCAAACAGTACTCCTCAGACCAGCAGCCTCAGTATAACCTGAGAACTTGTTAGGTATGCAAATTCTCAGGCCACATCTCAGGCTTACTGAATCAGAAAGTCTGGGGGTGGGGATGGTGTAGCAAGCCCTCCAGGTGCTTCTGATGCCTGATGAAGTTTGAGAACCACTGCCTTAGGCATCCAATCCCATGTAACACTAAAAATAAAAGTAAAAATAATCATGATGATAGGTAACACTTGCAGAGCTCTAAGTGGCAGGTCCTATTTCTAATTTGCATACATTAATTCAAGATTAATATTCACAATTAATCTTCACAATACCCTATGAGATTGATCACATTATTGTTATTCTTGTTTAACAGATGAGGAAATTAAGGTAAAGAAAGGTTAAGGAGGGACTTCCCTGGCTGGTGGTCCAGCGGGTAAGACTCCACGCTCCCAGTGCAGGGGGCCTGGGTTCAATCCCTGGTCAGTAGAACTAGATCCTGCGTGCATGCCGCAGCAAAGATCCCGCGTGCCACAATGAAGACCCAGGGCAGCCAAGATAAATATTTTTTTTAAAAAAAGGAAGGCTAAGGAACTTGCCTAGAATCACACAGATACTAAGAGGTGTAACTGGAATTTGAATTCAGGCAGTCTAGCTCTAAGGCTTATGCTCTTAATCTCCTCTTTATATACTCTCTCAAAAAGTTGGTAAATTCATAGTAGTCCAAATCTTTCCCTATCTCTATTGGCCTAAAGTACACATTTTTGATCTGGTCTGTAGAGAGACAAAAGGCAAAGAATAAAATTTCCAGCTCCTAACGAATTGATCATTAGACTAAGACAAGCGTCTGCTAAACTCAGTGCACTGCTTCACGTGTGTCAGGCGCTCAGTTTCCTCAAAATGCTCCCCAGAGCCCATCAGAGAGACAGCTGGGAGGCAGCACAGACGGGACCCCTGGGCTCACCGGCACGGCCCTGTTGTGTGCAGGCACAGGTCTTGCCCTTCTAGCAGGTCAGGAAGCAAGCCCTCCCTGGCAGCCCCTGGGCATCAAGGGGCCGCATAAGGTCATTTAATATAATCTGAAATTTTAAAATCCATTTTTATCTTTGTTAGAGGTAGTCCCTTGTTGATCTTACAAGATTCTAAAGGACCCTCCCCTTTAGGCCCTGGACGGAAGCCTGGAGGTGTGGATGTGTGCCCTTCAAAAGAGTAGGTGTCAGCTCCAGGTCACTCCCCAAAGCTCTCCTGAGAGGAAACAACGAGAGTGATGATAAACAATAATCAGGTAGGCACACCCGTTATTAGGAGAAACTACTCAGGTGCCCTCTGCCCTTTATCTTTCTGGAAAATTACTGACCCATCTCAAAGTACAAGACATCGCCTAGAAACCTGGCCCAGATAATTCCCATAAGCAAAATGAGGAAGAGTTTCTGCAGAGCACACTGGGGTACAGCAGTGCCAAGAGGCCGGCTGCAGAAGCCTGGTGACAGCTGCTGAGATGGGGGGTGGGGATCCACATTGTGACTGCAGAGAGAGGAGAGCAGGATCCAGAGGAAAAGTATCGCTAAGGTCTAACTGCAAAGGAGCCTACAAGTACTTGTCCTAAGCCGTGACCAAAAATCAGACGGCACTGAGAATCTACCTGAGCGGGACACGAGGGGCTGACCTCTACTCTCACAAGCAGTAGTTCCATGAGTATGTGAAGGAGAGCAACTGGAGGGGAGGAATTTGCAGGGACCCCTTAGGGGGTTCCAGGGGAGGCAGGCTGGTGCCGGGGTGGGAGCCCTAAGAGCCAACAACCCTGTGGCACTGGGCGAGGGGTGTGGTGAGGCAAGAAGGGCCTATGACTACAGAAAAGAAAGAAACCGAGGGAGGCTTTGGCAGCTCTGACCGGCTCTACCCAAGTTTGTAAGGCCAACAAGCCAGGGGCTAGGGGTTGGGTAGCCTAGACCGTATCTGTCCATTGAGTCATTCAACTCCCTCTTCCTGATGAGACACAAAACCTCAGAGACCCTGAAAATCAAGAGATGCCCCTCAGGAAACTCCCTACTGTTCCCATACCAAGGACTGTACCATCAGAGGTCTGATGAGATGTGCCCTCTGAGAGTGAGGGGCTGGTCAGCCAGGCTGTCACGCAGAGGGCAGTCAGTCCACCTGCCCCAAATGTTTCTATCACCATGCTCCGTTTACTTTCAGCATCAGCTCAGCTGGGCAGGCCAGCTGATCAGCTGCAACTAAAATTGAGCGGGTATCCCTCAGTCTCTGCCTGAAATGGAAAATTCTGGTCTCATTAGGTCTTGTGCCACCGACTTCCCTGCCCTCAGGAAAGGGATTCATCCACAATGCCAATACCTTTAATATCTCCTGCTAATGGCAAAACAGAAAGCATGGGGTGTTTTGGCCTGAGTTGCCAGACTTCAGTATGGCTGAAGTATGGCTAGTTTGGTTCAAAAAGGAGCTAAGAATTCTTTTAATAAAACAAGTTCATCATAATAAACCACTTGAATGTTGTTATTTCCTCTTAGAATCATTACCGTAGGCCCTTTAAGTAACAAAATGACAACAGACACAGACCAATTATCCTGGCCAGGCTTCAGTAGTAGTCTGAGGCCCATTTTATTGGAAAACTGTCTCTTCCAGAATTCTGTACATTCAATCAACCTTTATAGGGCCTTCGGTACTAGTGCTCTCACCTGAGACAAAGAACCATATGTGGTCAGTGACCATAAGAAGCAGGGCCATGGAGTGTATTCTGTATTGAGCATGCCTTACCAATTTCGTCAAGCAGCTCCTGAGATGGTGGTGGTAGCTCATCAATGTGATGTTGCGAGATGGTTTCTACTAGTTCTTAAAAAAGATAAAGGAGAAAGTGACTTACTGCCTTCCTAGACCTGAACTAGGTTTTCGAGGCTTCGACGTGGATTTGACTTAGGATTTCTCAATGATGAAACAAGCTAAGATGGGGAGAAAACCTCTTATATTAACGGTCCTAATTGAGACTTTGTATGTGAAAGGCTTTACTCTCCCTTTTACTCTAAACCCTTTCCTACATCACACCTCACCTCAGTACCACTTGATCTGTGCCCCTCCCCAAGGATATTTGAGGGAGGTGAGGTATAAATTCTTACTAAGAGGCTGGGGTTCCAATTTGGACCAAGACTGCTGGAGGGATATAGAAGCTCTAGACCCGTCAAAATGAAAAAAAGTGGGAGGCCTTTCTCTATAGATTATCAGGCCAGGGGATATGGGAGACCATACTTTGGGCCTTCACGTAAGGGCTCAATTATAACATTAACCAAAACCCCTCAGCGTAGTTCACAACATCTCTATCCCCCTGAGGGAAATTCTAAGAGTTGTACCAAAGACACAAGACAATAAGATTAATGGAGCAAAGGCAATTACACCTCAAGAGCTGTTAACGCTCTCATACCCTCTGATCTGGAAATTGTCTTCTAAGACTCTATCCTAAGGAAAAGATCAGAGGTTCAGATAAAGATTTCTGTACAAAGAGCAGAAGTTGGAAAACAACATAAATCTTCAACATAAGGGCGTGGTTAAGCAACATAAGTAGAATGGGCTACTATGCAGCCATCACATATATTTATGAATAATTTTTACTGACAAGTAGAAATCCTAAAATATATCATTAAAGGAAAAGAAGCAGGCCAGAGCTGATACACTATATGATCTCAACTATGCTAAGAAAAAGAATATATATATATATATATATATACATACAGCCCCCAAATATATATATATATATATATATATATATATACCAAAATACTACAAGAGGTTAAAAAATGATGGTAGAGGGACTTCCCTGGCAGTCCAGTGGTTAAGACTTCGCCTCCTAATGCAGGGGGTGCAGGTGTAATCCCTGGTTGGGGAGCTAAGATCCCACATGCCTCGTGGCCAAAAAACCAAAACATAAAACAGAAGCCATATTGTAACAAATTCAATAAAGACTTTAAAAATGGTCCACATCAAAAAAAACTTAAAAAAAAATAATGGTAGAATGGTCGTGGTTTTCTCTTTTAAGCTCATCTGTATTCTCTAAGTTTTCTATAATGAGTATGTTTTACTTTTATAGTCAGGGGAAATTAGCATTTTTGTTTGAATCTGCTATAGCCATCAAAGAAGAGATGAAGTCTCCCTTAAACTGGTTTACTATTATGAACTTGTATTTTAATATTAAACACAGGGTACCTTTTGGCAGGCTCCTCCTCTGAGTGGCACGGGATGATGTGTCAGGTGCCTTGGCAATGCTGGAGGAACCAGCCCCAGTAAATTCAGGCAATCTTTTCTACAAGTAAGACATAAACATGGTAACTGACACGTGTATTAAGCTAAAGAGGCCCGTTAAGCTCAGTCATTTCCAAGATTAATCTTGTGTATCACTGATGGAAGAAGCTACTTGTTTTGTTGACTGAGTCAAACATTCAAACGTTATCTCCTCTCGGAAGCCTTCCCACCCCCCTTTGCCTCCACGGCGCTCAGTTTCTACCTCTGTGTTACATCCTGCCAGTCTTTCTCAACAGGCAGTGAGCTCCTTCAGGGCGTGGACTTTCCTAGTCACTAGGCCTAGAAAAGGGCCTGGCATAGTGCCTGGCACTTAGAACCTGCCCCATTAACAGTCTGTTGAACAAGAGCATAAAATTCTTTATTTCCCTACTTCAGAGTGAGACCTTTTGTGAGTCAAATGCCCAGAGAAGATGACAGTCGATTTTTCACTGAGGGCCAAACAAGTAATCAATCTGCCTACAGAAAGGTCAGTCAACAGGTTTTTAATGAGCAGAACCAAGTAAGGAACTTTCAGTTTTCTTGAAGAGACTACACATATGAAGTATGAGGGAGAGAGAGAAAGGAAACCAACAAACCAACAGCACGGGGAGGGGGAGGAAGCAAGGAGAAGGTACCATTAAGTGTTTTTACTGCAGATTATTGGTTCAGGAGTGCAGAAAAGGTAGAGATCAATCGAAACTCTCAGAGAACTAACCAGAGGAGGCATCAAGAAGGAAGCAGAACTCGAGCCTCCTCTTAGTACGTAAGGTATGGTTAGGTAGAAAGAACAATGCAGCTGAACAATGCATCATAAGCTATCGCAGCGGACGGCTCTTTCGAGAAATCGACAAACATTACCTCTGGGGGAAAAAAAAGGGCACAAAAACCCAGGATCCATTCTACAATACAGACTCAGAGAGGAGCCCCAGGGAAGCCTGGAGAGGATCCAGCTTATTTCTTGCTTTCTTTGTAAAACAGACACGGACAAATCTTGGCCTTTTGGGTCACTGACGCCTTTGGACTCACTCCAAGAGTGTGCAGCGCAGGGTCAGTATACTTACGAGATTAGTCAGTCTTGAAGGAAGAGTTTCAGAGGAAGTAAGAAGGGAATCTAGGCTCTTTGCTTTCTCTCGGACAGTTGTAAATTTATCAGACGAAGTTTGAATAGATTCTTGACTGTTCCAGAATGAGGTAGACCCTGTTTTAACCTGAAACGTGATACTTTCAAGACAGTCCTTATACTGACTAGAAGCTGAAGAAATTGACCCTGTTGTAGAAAAGAGGGCAGTTAGTGTCTGAATCCTTTACATTATTTAAAAACAACAAAAAGAAGCCCCCACAAAACTCTATAACTGGAAGAGGGATTTTCCAAATTGTCAATAACTGAAATAATCACTGATCACTGATGACAGTCTCTAAACTTGGGAGAGACTAAAGGGAGATTATTTGAACCACAAATAAACTGGAAAATAGGACACTAGAGAGAGCATATTTGACGCTGGCTGTATGCAGTTGCAGGAGCCAGAGCTATGTATGTTTAAGCACAAGGTGCTGTTTTAAGTTACAAACTCTAGAGAATCCAATGTATCTGCACTAAATTCAACAGTGCTTCAAGTACAAAGTAGGCTCTGCATTTGCATGTCTCTATTGCTAGAGTTTAAAAATCTCCTTATAGCTGGTTAATCACCACCACCACAGCTACCTGGCCTCCCATGGGATTATCCCCTTCAGCTCTGACCCTAAAGAAACCCCTCTGTACTGTGAGAAAACACTGTGGGTCTGCTCCTGCAGCCCGGCTTCCCATAGCCAGGCGAGGCAGGGGCTGTTAGCCCCTTTCCCAGAACATCCCCCTGCTAGTCATTACCTGGGCTGAGCGGAGTGCTGACACTAGTAGGTGCGTGGTTTATTTTGGGTGTTTTGCATGAGACTTCCTTAAAAGCACCGTCTTGTTCATAGGAGATACTAGACAGGTCTTGAATGTCTGTCAGTGATCTAAAGAATTAAAAGCACAGAGTAATTGGGAGGTGTTTACAGAAATCAAACACTATATTCCTAAGAGGTACTTTTTAAAGATGCTCTTCACAAAAATCTTTATTTGGCAAGTGGCCAAAATCAGAGAATATCTTAGAATATCCATAAGATATCTATAAGATATGTAAGATATCTTAAAGAGAATATCTTAAAAAGAGATACTAACTTTAAACATATCTCAGCGGCTAAAAATAAATTCCATAGGTGAAAGTCTATTTATGTGGCAAACAGATTTAATCTACCTCAAGTATAAACTTCTGTTCTTCTTATCACTGTGTTTCCTTGATTAAGATGCTGTTAATTTAGATCACTCATCACAACAGTTTTTTGGTGGAAGAAGAAACAGGCTCACATTAAATGTATACATAAAAATGGGAAGAACACAGACTCCTACAAACAAGGAAATACTCTTCCCCTAAAACCAAGACTTTGCACAGAATCCTTAGGCAACTTTTGGTGGCCATACATGTCTTTCTCTTTCATTTCCTTTGGTGACTCCTTTAATGTCTCCTCTTGTTCGTCTTCAATACTGTAAGAGAGAAAGTGAGAAAACTATGTAAATCCCCTGTCAGCAGAGTGCAATATCGTGGTACAAGGCACCAGTTACTGGCCCAGTGTGAGAGGCAGCTGGAAGGGCACTAAGCTCAAAGTGGAAAGTGAGGGTTCTGATCCTAGCTCTGCTACTGACCAGCCACATGTTCTCAGGGATGTCTGGGCCTCTGTTTCCTCTTCAGAGGCTGAATAAATACTCTCTAAGGGTCAGCCCATCTGAAATCAGCCAACGATGCTACTGGCTGAGCAAGCTCCTGAGGAAATCAACAGAGCATGGGAACTTTGCTGTGGATGGATGATGGAGCAAAGGGCACAGCCATGGGGCCTTACCAACTGTGAAACAGCTTCTTGGCATGGAGTATCAGGGGAGGCCAAGAGAGGCTTGTGCCAAAAAAATGGCCAGAGAAGAATTCTGAAGACAAACTTGACCTGCTTCTACTTTAACCAATATTTAAGATTCATCTTCAATATTCAAACACAAACTATAAGCCAGATCCCATGCTAAATCCTTCCAAATGTTTCCCCATTTTTAATCTTTGCACAATCCTGTGAGACCAATGGTATAAAGGAAAGAGCATGGATTTTGGATTGAGTTGTGACTATTAATTCTGTTCACTAAGTATTTGTTTCTCCTGCGGAGCACAATGTAGGACAGTACTTTCTGGCCCTCCTAATTTACATAAATGGCCATATGACTTGTTTTAACCAGTGAAATGCAAGTGAAAGTGATGTGATTCACTGTGGGGCAGAAACTTTAAAAGCCTGGTGCACAATTCACCGTGTTCCCTTTTTTCCTGCCTCAGTAAGAAAGGAAGCACAAAGACGGCATCTCCCTCACTGTGGACTCTGACGGAAGGCAGAGTAGCACAGGACACTCCTGGTGATGGACGAGGAGCACGAGCACAAAATAAGTTTTTGTTGCTTTAAGCCACTAAAATCTGGGGGTTGTGTGTTACACAACATAATCTAGCCTATCCTAATGATATAGCTACTTACTAACTGTACAACCTAAGGAAAAAACCCTCTGCTCTCTGTATTGGCAAAATGAGAGGGTTGTTATATGAGTTAAATTTGACAGAACAGAGTACCTGGCATATTGTCACTACTTAGGAAATACTAGCTATCATTATTATAGATAAAGGAAATTGAGGTCCAGAAAAGAGAAAGTAAATTGAATGCTATTGTACCAGGCACTTCATCTCTGTTATTCGTTTTTGAATTAATCTTTTTATTTTGAAATAACTGTATGTATATTCACATGCAGTTCTTTTTCTTTTTTTTTTTTTAATTTATGGCTGTGTTGGGTCTTTGTTGCTGCGCGCTGGCTTTCTCTAGTCGCAGCGAGCGGGGGCTACTCTTCCTTGCGGTACACGGGCTTCTCATTGCGGTGGCTTCTCTTGTTGAGGAGCATGGGCTCTAGAGCGCAGGCTCAGTAGTTGTGGCACATGGGCCTAGTTGCTCCGTGGCATGTGGGATCTTCCCAGACCAGGGCTCGAACCCGTGTCCCCTGCATTGGCAGGCGGATTCTTAACCGCTGCACCACCAGGGAAGTCCACATGCAGTTTTAAGAAATACACTTTACCCAGCTTCCCTCAATGGTGACATCTTGCAAATCTATTGAGCAATATCATAACCAAGATATCAACATTGATACAGTCAAGATACAGAACATTTCCACCACAAGGACCCCTCACGTTGCCCTTTTATAGCCATGTCCATTTCCCCCCCACTCCCATCTCTTTCTTAACCCCTAGAAACCACTCATTTATTCTTTATTTCTACAATTTTATCATTTCAAGAATGTTATAAATGTAGAATCACATAGTAAATAACTTTGCAGGGGTTGCTTTTTCCACTCAGCATAATTCTCTGGAGACTTATCCCGGTTGCTGCATGTACCAATAGTTCATGCTTTTTTATTGCTGAGGAGCATTCCATGGTATGGATGTAACACAGTCTATTAAACCATTCACTTGTTAGATAACATCTGGGTTTCCAGATTTTGGCTATTATGAATAAAGTTTCCATAAACATTCATGTATGTGTTGGGTTTTTAAAATATTTATTTATTTGTTTTTTGGCTGCATAGGGTCTTAGTTGCAGCATGCAGGCTCTTCATTGCAGTGTGCGGGCTTCTCTCTAGTTGTGGCATGCGGTTTTTCTCTCTCCAGTCGTGGTGCGCAGGCTCCAGAGCGTATGGGCTCTAGTTTGCAGCACGCGGGCTCTCTCGTTGAGGTGCACAAGCTCAGTCATTGTGGCACGTGGGCTTAGTTGCCCCGCCGCATGTGGGATCTTAGTTCCCCGACCAGGTATGGAACCCACGTTCCCTGCGTTGGAAGGCGGATTCTTTACCACTGGACCACCAGGGAAGTCCCATGTATGTGTTTTCATGTAAACATAATTCTTCATTTCTCTGGGTAAATGCCCAGAAGTCATATTATTACTTTTAATCTCTATGTCAACATTCCCAGTAAGAATTCTTTTCTTTTTTGAATTTAGGATCTTCCATTTATTCAATAGAATTGAAAATATATTATTTAAGAGAGGTGAAAAAATAAAACTCAATGTTGTCTACAGAAACTTTCCTTAACCAGATGGAATTTCTCTTTCTCATTTGTAAAAGTAAAAAAAAAATAAAGTAGCTTTTTCTTTCAAAAGTAGTATGCACCCATGGTGGAACACTCCAACAGCAAAGAAGGTTATAAGATAAAAAGAAAAACCTCTGAACTCTCTCTCTAGAGTTAACCACTGTATAGACTTCCAGAAGTGTCGACACACTACAAGGATTATAGGTATCTCCCTTCCCTCTCATTTTTACACAGACGGTATTAAATTACATACACTGTTGTGCATTTTTTTCAATTAACAGTATGTCCAGTGATGATTCTTATTGCTATTTTACAAATGGGGAGCTAGAAGAGAGGGGCTGAGAAATTTGACCAAGTTAGAAAAGCAGAGTCAGGATCTGAATACAGATAACAACTCCTTTTCACGACGCCTCACAATTCTGCTGAACAAGTCCTCACAAAGCTAAGCTGCCCAAAGCTTACTGTTATAACATGGTGGCTATTATATTTGAAGAAGAGCAACATGTAAATATGGGGCATTACCATCAATTAACATTACTTCTTTGAGTCTGAAACTCAAAGAATAAAATAATAGCATAGGGGGCTTCCCTGGTGGCGCAGTGGTTGAGAGTCCGCCTGCCGATGCAGGGGACGCGGGTTCGTGCCCCGGTCCGGGATGATCCCACATGCCGCGGAGCGGCTGGGCCCGTGAGCCATGGCCGCTGAGCCTGCGCGTCCGGAGCCTGTGCTCCGCAACGGGAGAGGCCGCAGTAGTGAGAGGCCCGCGTACCGCAAAAAAAGTAAAAATTAAAAAAAAGATAATAGCATATACCTTTGTATAGGTTGGAATTGAGACCTGGTCAAAATTTCAGCATTCTTTCCAAGGTTTTTTCTCATTTGGAACTTTTCTTCACCTGAAAGAATAAAGTACATGCATTTTTTAGTGAATTTTTGCCAACCCAGATGATTACTTTCATTCTCGAGAATTTTCCTTGGTCTGATCCAGAATAAGAAATAATCTACATAAACAGAGTGCTTCCTAGTTGGGTTTGGAGTGAGCACTGTAGAAGAGGTTTTTGCTCTGAAAGTTTATTTCCCTTGCTCAGAGGGGAGAACTATATTCTGACTCTCAGAATACAATCAAGCCATTTACTGGCCTTTCAGTTATAACTGCACAGTTATTTCTGGAGACAAATATTGTTTTGTCTTTTCAGGAAGGCAAACTGACCTGGTTCCTGTCAACAGACACCAGGGGGCGTTGAAACCAAGAACTGTTTGTTCACTAAAGATTCCAAATAGAAAAGACCACGAGGGGACACGGGTTCGAGCCCTGGTCCGGGAAGACCCCACATGCCACAGAGCAACTAAGCCCATGCACCACAACTACTGAGCCCCCGTGCCACAGCTACGGAAGCCCACGCGCCTAGAGCCCGTGCTCCGCAACAAGAGAAGCCACTGCAATGAGAAGCCCGTGCACCGCAAGGAAGAGTAGCCCCTGCTCGCCACAACTAGAGAAAAGCCTGCATGCAGCAACAAAGACCCAATGCAGCCAAAAATAAATAAAATTAAATAACTAAATGAAAATTTTAAGAAAAGACCAATGTTCTGGGCATTCCCAGAACATTAACTGTGTCTCTTGGCCACCAAACATCACTTAAGGAGTGGGGATGGGGTCTCGAGTACTAAGGAGCTAATTCGACTGTCTTCTGTTCTCGTTGGCCTCAAGCATCTGAAGTCACTCCTCCCCAGCTCTCAGTAAGGCCTCTGGACACACGGGGCCAGCATCCATTTTCCTTTCCACCATTACATAGCTCTGGTTTATAGAGAAGAGGACAGACAGACCAGCCTGCCCCGCTGGCAAGTGCTCAAGATCCGCCTGCCATTCTTTAGGTCCAGGAGGTAGTCTGGTAGGCAATGGGAGGCCCACTATAAAAGTGCCACCTTCAGCAGAAGCCAAGCTACTCTGAAACCCCACCAGTGGAGAAGCCTAGGGGTTCTTCTTCTTTCCACCCCTTTTCAAATGCCTAGAAAGCGTAAACACCTGGAAAGCATAAATGAATTCCTAATAAGCACAATTTAGACCTGGAGGGGAACTTAAGAGCTTTTAGAGTGTAACTTTCTCCTTTACTTTACATGGAGGGAAAGTGGGGCCCTCAGGTGGAGTGACATGCCCAAGGTAATGCACAAAAAAAATCAGTGGCAGAACTGGGCTTGGAACCCAGCATGTATGCAACTTTTATCCCTGTTGTATTGCCTGGTATGGAGAGGATATATTGATATATCAGAGCCCTAGTGAAAAAGGGTGAGGAGAAGGGCTAAAAGGAGGAAACAGAGTAGAAATCAGAGGCTTCTACATGTACTTTAGATGTTTGTATCCAACTAGCCCTGGTTTTCTGAACTGCCTGCCCCATAACTTCTCTATCCTACTCAACTCTCTTCCAAACACTAGTGAAGAGGCCATGTACAGGTCAGGCTCACACAGAAAGTGATCATGGGCAGAGGCTCCACAGAAAGAGCTGGGTGGCCAGAGACCCAGGTTTGGGAACTTTAAATACATATTGTCCTGAGAATTTAACTGTTCATCTAAAAGCTTACAGCTTCTTAAAATGCTTGTGCCTGTGACGGGGGCCTGCATCAGGTTAGAGATGGCAGCTGGAGTATGCAGCAGGAGGAAGGGAGTATGGTCGGAACCTAAACCCACCCAGCCCGGGTTCAGACTGTTGAGACACGACCCTGGACCGAGCTACATGGCTTGGTAGGTGGATAACCCTGGTTTTAAAAATGGATGGTTGCATACCTTAAAAGAGCGAAAGTGCACAATTTTTAAAATGCCTGTATCAGAACCTGTGGTTCACTTATATCTTGTCTTGTGTCACACCCCGGCTGCTGATCCAAGGTTAATTTACCATGTAACGGGAAGCAGTTGCTAAGTTATATAGAACCCAAGGCCTCCCAAGGGAAGGATGTTACATTCGCTGTACTGTTGGCTATTATTAATCCTTTGCTAAGATGCCAAGCAACCAAAGGAAAATGATGGTGGAACTCTGCCTTTTGGGGAAGAGAAGGACATGGAAACCTAGTTCTGGTTGTCACTGTGTCAATAACTAGCTGTGTGGCCTAGGTCAATCCCTCAGGTCAGCTCAGCAAAGATAACTGAACACCTGCTATGTGCCACAAAAGAGCCTGAAATCTAGGGAAAGAGACTACAGGGGGAAAATAGAAGAAGAAGCAACTGCTATAACTTATGCTATAAGAATGCAAGGGGAGGTATAAATAACATGATGTATGGATGTCATGAGACTAGTGAGGGGCAGGGGAAATCACTGAGCCTAAGTTTTCTCATCTGTAAAATGAAAGGCCTGGAAGGTTATTTCTAAGGACCTTTCCAGCTCTAAACATGTGTGATCTGACAGAAAGTAAAGATGAGGGACTCTCAAAGGAATCTGCCCTGAGGGCTTATTACCAGAGGCTTGAGGTCGGGCACAAGCATGTTGTATTCCTTCAAAGTCTTCTTCAATGGGACTTGAGGTCTGCAAAAGAATGAAAGAGCAAAGAAAGGAGGGTCACTGGAGGCAGACATATCATCAGAAGGTGGAGAGAGAATTTCTTGATGTTCTTAAACCTTGAAAATCTTCATAAGATTTTCATCTTCTATAGAAAAAGAACAAACCTTTCATCTTCTATAGAAAAAGAACAAACCTTCATCACAGACATTAAGAACTTATTTGTACTATGTGTTCTTCCTCAACAACAAGCCCTCCCCCACCTCCCATTTTGAGGTGGAATCGGGTGACTTTTCCCTTCATCATCCCCTCCTCACCACAACCTTCCAACAAAGATGTTTTGATTCCTGAGAGCTTTATCAGAAAAGCCAAGGAAGGTAGGAAAAACGGCCCAGGCTGCAAAGCTACTCTATGGGGTGAGAAGTCAGAACACTGGTTCCTTTGAGGGGAGGCAGGGAGTGGGAGGAAACACAAGGAGGTCTTTTGGGGGATCAAGAATGGTCTATTTCTTGATTTGGGTGCTGGCTACATGAGTGTGTTCAGCATGTAAAATTTCATGAGCTGTACACTAAAGATGTGTGTAGTCTTCTCCGTTATACTTTTTATATGCATCTACATGTTACATGTATATACATATGTATGTTACATGTATATACATATGTATGTATATATACTTTATACATTTCTATTAAAGATTTTCTTAATGTCCCAGTCCACCGTAAAACCAAGAATGTTTAAAGGATTAATAATGGAAAATTGCTCTAATTGAGTTTTCAGAAGTGCCAACAAGTGGAAACTACGCTTTTTGATGCATCACTGAATTCTTCTTGTCAGTCAAATGTTGTGACTGACATGTACAATCCTCTCTTTCCTCTACCGTACCTTCCATATTGGTAAAAGAACCTCAAAAAGTGGCAGGTTAGGGGACAGGTGAGGTTAAAATAACGTAAGTAAATAAGAGAATCCAATAAGTTTCATTTTATAAATGAAAATACTCTGTACAAACAGGTTCTTGCAAAAGCTAGGCAGATCCCAGGGAAAGCCCTGTGTACTGGACAGCCTAACATTCACTGCTGACACTGTGACTCTATTCCTGGCTGTCTCACCACTAAATCTGGCCAGGCCAGGGCTAATTCCCTACATCTGCGTTCGCCAGTTCTTCACACAGAGGAATAACAGCAGGCTGCCTTCTTTTCCCTTCAGGAAGGATGTGTGAATTGGGTAACATGAAGGAAAGTGTTTTGAAAAAAGAAGTACAAAGTGCTGTACAAATGCAGGAGCCACAATTTTGGGAGAAATTGCTTATGACCTTCATTATCAAAAATCTTATTTTTCACATGTTTTTTCAAAACACACAAAAACACTGATAAATTGACATTATATACTTTTATGTGTAAGCTATTTTCTTAATAAAAATAATTTTAAGGGAATAAGGCAACAGAAAAGCTGAAGATGTACTTTATCCTGAACTGTAAATTTTTACCTCTAGGGGCTTCCCTGGTGGTACAGTGGTTGAGAATATGCCTGCCAATGCAAGGGACACAAGTTCGAGCCCTGGTCCGGGAAGATCCCACATGCCGTGGAGCAGCTAAGCCCGTGCACCACAACTACTGAGCCTGCGCTCAAGAGCCCGCAAGCCACAACTACTGAAGCCCGTGCGTCTAGAGCCCGTGCTCCACAACAAGAGAAGCCACCGCAATGAGAAGCCCGTGCACCACAATGAAGAGTAGCCCCTGCTCACCTCAACTAGAGAAAGCCCACACACAGCAACGAAGACCCAATGCAGCCAAAAATAAAAAACAAACAAATAAATTTATTAAAAAATTTTTTTTTACCTCTAGAGCCAAGTTTTCTTGAGCAGTTGAGGTGTAAAAATATTCATGGTCTGGAGTTAAAACTTCATCTGTTATGCCTTCAGAAGACTCTGGTGAACAAGTTGCTTGCATGGACTGATCCTATTAATAAGGTAGGAAATCACTTTTAAGTTGGTGTTTATTGTAAACAAATCCCTTTATAGCTGGATGCAGTGTTAATGATGGGGTATCAAAAATTACTCTGTGGTCGGGGTGACACTCTCTGAGACCTTCCTGCCTACTTGCACCTCTGGCCCTCCTTCCCCACTGTGAGCTGTGAACCCCCTGGAGCAAATGTGACAAATGACAGTCCTGAATCTCAACATCCTTACCTGCACAGTGGAAGTGGGGGGAGGCTGGGTGACCTTTTTGCTCTAAAATTCACAGGAAGAAAAAAGTCCCTAGACAACTCAAGCTGGGGACTGAATTTAAACACCCTGATCCTCAAGAGCCTAGATACAGTCCATGTGTTGGCATTGTCCTCCAGGCTGAGGCTGCTCAGAACTGGGACTCCCTCAGGTATTCCCGTTTAAAGGCAAGTGAAGAAGCATGATTTTGGGGCTTCCCTGGTGGTGCAGTGGTTAAGAATCCGCCTGCCAATGCAGGGGACACAGGTTCGAGCCCTGGTCCAGGAAGATCCCACATGCCGCGGAGCAACTAAGCCCGTGTGCCACAACTACTGAGCCTGCACTCTAGAGCCCGTGAGCCACAACTGCTGAGCCTGCATGCCTGGAGCCCGTGCTCCACAACAAGAGAAGCCACCGCAATAAGAAGCCGGCGCACCGCAACGAAGAGTAGCCCCCGCTCTCCGCAACTAGAAAAAGCCCGCGTGCAGCAACAAAGACCCAACACAGCCAAAAATAAATAAATAAAATAAATAAATTTATCAATTAAAAAAGAAGCACGATTTTAAAAATAGCAATGCAATCTCAACAATAAAAATAAAATAAAGTAAGTTATTTCTTCAGCATCTCCACTCTACCCCTTCCTTTTTTGCTCTTTTTCTACATTCAGGCCCTGATCACCACATGGCCAGACAAGTGGCTCCCTTCCTCACCTTCAGTCGTCCTTTTGCAGAGGTTTTGTGGTTTATTTCCTCGGACACTGCTTTTGCCACACTTCCTCCTCTGTGCACTTAGCAGCTGCTTTCCTCAGCCCCTCCTGTCAAACTGAGATTTCTCAGACAAGCTTGGCCTCCCATACCTTCCCCACTTCCCTGACAGAGATGCTTCTCCAGCCAAGCCAGTATGCTGAATGTGGCACATCCTTCCAGCCCTCACATGAGAGAAAGAATAAATTGTCCTGTGAGCGGTTTGTGTGCTATGATTACTACAATAGTATGTTCTTCAAAAGACCTCAAATGTTATCACACCTGGCTTTTTACATTGTTTCATTCTCAGCTGCTGTTTATATTCTTTAAATGATCCTGGGCCCACGTCAATGGTGATTACAAAAATTCTGGTTCCTTGCTCTGGCTGGACTATGGCCCAACTGCATGCCTGAAGAATGCATTAAATCCCTGAAGCAAGGCTGTAACCCCAATGCAAATGCTAGGATATGACTGTATCCCAGAGATCTTGCTGAGGCAGAGGTTTCAGGCATGAACACATTCCTTCCACTGAGTTGAAAGCTGAATTTGGGTCTTAGGTGACATTCCAGGTGAAGGTACTCCCATCGCAACCCTGGCCTTGCTTTTCCTACTTCAATCTGACCTGAGTCACGAGCTTTGGTAACTGACCGTGCTTTAAGAGTTAGTCTTGGGACTTCCCTGGCGGCGCAGTGGTTAAGAATCTGCCTGCCAGTGCAGGGGACATGGGTTCGATCCCTGGTCCAGTAAGATCCCACATGCCGTGGAGCAACTAAGCCCGTGCGCCACAACTACTGAGCCTGTGCTCTAGAGCCCGCGAGCCACAACTACTGAAGCCCTCGTGCCTAGGGCCCATGCTCCACAACAAGAGAAGTCACCGCACTGAGAAGCCCACACACCGAAACGAAGAGTAGCCCCCACTCTCGCCACAACTAGAGAAAGCCTGCGCGCAGCAACGACCCAGCACAGCCAAAAATTAATTAATTAAGAAAAAAAAGAGTTGGTCTTGTCTAGCCAACTTGACAGAAAGCTCAAGGGTCAGAGCTGAATATAACACTTGTCTGTGTTTTCCCCAAGCTCCGATATACACAATGCTTTGAGTTGAACTAACTCAAAAAGTATCAGGCAGGGCTTCCCTCGTGGCGCAGTGGTTGAGAGTCCGCCTGCCGATGCAGGGGACACGGGTTCATGCCCCGGTCTGGGAAGATCCCACATGCCACGGAGCGGCTGGGCCCGTGAGCCATGGCCGCTGAGCCTGCGCGTCCAGAGCCTGTGCTCCGCAACGGGAGAGGCCACAACAGCGAGAGGCTCGCGTACCGCAAAAAAAAAAAAAAAAAGTATCAAGCAGGGAGGAAAGACTTCTTCTTTCATGTCAGAGACATGAGGGCACATGCTCCAACAAAAAAGAACTACGATAGATATTATTTCAATGTCATAATACATAACAACTCAGTTCTAGTAGGTCTTTGGGTTCAAGTTGGCTCTCCAGGCAGTATGACTTACGCTGTAAGACTTCTCAACAACCACAGGTGCATCCGAATTTTCTTGAAAGACTTCGCCATGCTCTGGCTGCTCATTTTTTCTGGGGGGCAGGTGCCTGGTACCTAATAATTATAACACATTGTCATTTGGTGATATTCAAATGGCATGGAAGGGGCAAAGGGTGGCATGAGAGAAGAGATGTACGCATATTCTGTACATCTGTACCTGTCATATTCTGCCAAGGGTGGCCAAGGGTGGCCATGTTTCGTATGTCAAATCGAAGTGGAGACTGTTAGGCTAGTCTGGCCCCAGCACGTGGCCCTGGATCAGCCACCCTTTTGCCTACCCATTCAAGAGTGATGCTTGACAAGGAACAGATTTTAAATACCAAAAAGATCCAAACCAATAGATTTTCTACCTAAGATAAATAATAATTTTAGATGTACCTTCCTTTGATTTGCAAACAACTGTGAAACGATATCCCATGCCCTGATTGCAAGCAAATTACCAGGTAGAAATACACACTCTTCAGTTTTCACCTACAAATCTCTAAAAGTGATGACAGTAAATGTCGTTTGTCTCTAAGTTCCTCAGGCGTAGACTCTCTGAGAGCCACTGGAATTTTTCTGTCTTAAAATGCAACGCAAAGAAGGGGGCAGTAGGGAGTGGCCTTCCACCAATGCCCTCAGGTAAAAGGTTCGATTCTTTGTGAGGTTAGACCCAGATCCAGGGTCAGTGCATGGAGATTATTTTACTTCCTTTGGACAAAGGAATCTGCTCCGGTAATAGAAAAACTCATGAATCTCTGGACTTCTTTACCTGTCTGAAGGACAGTGGGATTAGAAGGGTATGCTGCTTTCCCCTGGAATTCAGGATTCCCAGACAGGTAGGAAAGAAGACCAAAGGAAATATTCTAGGAGGTTTACTTATTTTTGAGAGCTGACAACTTGATAGAGCTCACCTACCCTGACTCGTCCAACTGAACTTACCGGTGAAACTTCGAGGCCCTGGCTGTCTGCCATGTTGGTCACTGTTGCGGTCACTGCTGTCTGTTTTGTCACACTTGCCATTTCCTCCTGGCTCATCATTTTTCTTGGGATGCTCTACAGCTTGCTGCCAATCCACGTGCTCAGGGACCCTAATGGGGGGCTGCAGCAGGGGATCAGGCCTGTTTTCAGCCTCATTTTCTAAAGTCACACTACTCTGAGGATGCCAAGGAGGTACTGCCAGCTGCCCAGTAGCTGCTTTCTCTGCCATTTCTTTCACCTCCGCTGGATGTAAGAGAAAGCAGCGTTTAAAAGATCACTGTGAATGCTGGAAACAAAAGCTTTAGATTCTTAAAGAGTTATGTCATATTCTATAGCTCATATTGTCACAATGATTGCGTTTTTGGAATTGCATCATCCTCAGCTTGGCCTGAAGCAGAGGAGAGGAGAGAATTGATGATAGAGTAAGGGAAAGGCAGAATTTCAGTTAGTTACCGTGCTTTCTGCTGAATTAGAGTAAAAAGTAACAGGAAACTTGTAGACGGACCTTTTTGCTGTGAAGATTTTATAAGGAAATGACATCTGAAGCCCCTAGTCTGTAGAGACTAATGGAAGGAATTCCACTGAGTCTGTCTAGCCTTTCTAGACCACGCTGAGCTCATATTTGGGGAGTACGCATGTTTGTGTTCATGTGCGTTTTCACTCCCATTTTCTCTACTTTTGCAGTGTCACTTAGCATTAGTATCAAAAAACGTAGATGCTGTATCCTGTTAAGCTTACAAGATTAGACTGATACAAAAGGATAATGCCCACAAAATATGTGAAAGTGACACTGCAAGCTCTCTACCTTAATAATGTTATATATTAAACATCTATATTGTGTATTTTTACTGCATGTGTTATATAGCATACATACATATATATATATGTATACACATGTAAAATAGAAGAATTTCCTATATAGTATAGAAATGAATAAAGCACTTCTCTTCTGCAGTGTGTAATCAGAAAGGTCTTGCTTTTAAAATGGAACGATCTAAAAAGAAAAGAATATGGGAGAACAATGCAATACAGGCTGTGTACTTACAGATGACAACAAGGTTAGAAAGATACTTTAAATTTCATTTTGTTCAACAGAATCCATGACTTTATACTCACTTTTCCATTTTAAGTGTATCTCTCCAGCATCTTCATTATTTCTTGACTTTGTGTTATAGATTTTAGAAGACACAGATTCCATGCTGATCCTGAATTGCATAGGTTTGGAGGAAGGGAGTGAGTGGACACAAACACATCAGTTTGCTCAAGGTCCTGGCACAACCCCAAGCCCATCAGCCCACCCAGAGGACTGTCCCCTATTACTCTGAGCCGTTCCTGAGATTGCACCGTCTCCAACCCACCACCAGGGAGCACTAGACTTCCCAACGTTCAGCCCACAAGGCTCTACCTGGAAGAGCCTCGGCCAGGGGTGGATGACCTGAGCGGTCCCTGTGGGTGGCCTGGCACAGTGAGGAGTGCACCACTGAGCTGTGTCGTTCTGGTTCGGGCACTGGACTCTCTAGGCCTTCCCTGGCTAAGAAATAAAAGGAGTGGGTTAGAAGATCTCGAGGTAGAAGACCCACAACTGAAACACAGCTGCACCAGACAGAATCCTGGTTACTTGGGCTGTAGCGCAGCCCTGCCACAATGCCACAGAACATAGGTGAAGGTTCAGTAGCTGTTCCTGCCCTTTGATCAGAATCCTCTGGTAATATGCACACCTGCATATCAGTGATAGCACAATAGCTAACATTTGTAAAGATGGTCTTGAGGCACCAGGGGCTCTGAAGAACATTCAGAGATCTTCAGCCTAGTTTCACTGAGTTCGAGACCATGTCCTGCCACTGGCTAGCTGTCTGACTTTGGCAAACTTCAATCTCTCTGGGCCAAGGTTTCCTCGTCTGCAAAACAAGGGAGTTTCTTTTTCCTCTAAATATTCCATGATAATATATACGTTATCACCTATTAAACTAACTCTTTGAAAATGTGTGATCTATGGCATATATGTGAATTCCCTTTTATCCAGAATACCCCACTCTCCCACTGGATCAGAGCGCAGAGACTGTTGAATTGGAAAGGTAACATCTAATCAGTTTCTTTGAAGAGCAATTTGGCAATAGCTATCAAGAATCTTTAAAATGTTCAAACCCTCTGAGCTTGTAACTCTGCTTCTGGGAATCTATCAAGGACATAACCCAAAATGCAAAAAAAAAAATTTACTGACAAGTCACTGTAGCCCTATTCATAACAGGAAAACAACAACAACAAAAAGAATAAAACAACCTAAAATTCAACAATGGGGGAAATTCAACAATTTCAAAGTAAGTTTACAGGATGTTTTTAATAGCAAGGGATAACCATGTTCTAATATAAAGCAAAAACTGAGGATACAAAATTGCCTACATGTATATAATTACAATTTTTTTAAGCATACAGAAAGAGTAGGTGGATTGGTAGCAAAGTGTTAAACTTTTCTTTAGTCAGTTTTTTGTTCTCCCGGGGGAAGAGGGTGGAGCTGGGCAGGCGAAGCCACAACTACAGCTTTTGCTTTGTCATCCAGTGGCTATACTATCACCCTATATGCCTCTGTCAATGATGTGACTGCTAAACTCTCTGATGCCAGTTAGGTGGTTCTTCAGTTAATTTCCTTTGTAAAGGTAAAATACACTAATCTAAAATGTCTGGGCATTTTCCTTGATTCTCCCTTAATGTACATATTTAACCAAAATGAATGGAACAGCAAATTTGTCATTAGTTTTAGTCACCACTGGGGGTAGGAACAAAATTTTCTTTCCTGGAGGACTGACTTCAAGCTGTGGATTAATGTTGCCATTTAACCACAGAAAAGGAAAACTAAATTGATATAATACTCTATCTTGAAAAACATTTATCGCTCCATTAATAATTCCTCCTATGCAGGGACTTCCCTGGTGGTCCGGTGGGTAAGACTCCATGCTTCCAATGCAGGGGGCCTGGGTTCGATCCCTGATCAGGAACTAGATCCTGCATGCATGCCACAGCTAAGAGTCCACATGCCACAACCAAGAGTTCTCATGCCGCAACTAAGTGTCTGCATTATGCAACTAAGAGTCCGCATGCCGCAACTAAGACCCGATGCAGCCAAAATAAATAAATAAATAAATCATTTAAAAAATAATAATAATTCCTCTTATGCAAAATAAAATTTGTTTTACCTAAGTTCTTAAAAACCCAGCATACGCATACACTCTCCTTCTGGTGATTTGTGCTGAAACCAATTCATTTTGTTGATCTGGCTAAAAATCAGAGGCCGCAAGGTAACAATGATACTGTTCAACCCCCTCCTTCTGTCCCCCAGAGTCAGTGACGCTTATTTTGAACAACACTGGTTTTCACATAGTTTGGTTTCTGTAGCACTGGTGCATGGAATACTTGGCAATTCTTTTTATAAGAAAAACAATCTGGGGACTTCCCTGGTGGTCCAGTGGTTAAGAATCTGTGCTTCCAATGCAGGGGGTGCAAGTTCAGTACCTGGTTGGGGAACTAAGATCCCACATGCTGCGCGGTACAACCAAAAAAAAAAAAAAAAAACCCCACAATCTGGGCAGTTTCAGAAAGGCAGGATGCTTTACTTTTGACAACTGATGAGTTCTGTGTGGCTAACCTGCCAGCCACTTGATGTCCCCTGCAAGTCTCCATTATACCACTATTCTCACTTACGCAACGGAGAGAACTTGCCAAGATCCGTTTCTGTGTTACTATGCCTCATCTCTCACAATCTCTTTGTCACTAGACATATGAAGATCATTAAGTGGCCTCAGGGTCACATGGGAGTCTAAAGACATGGTGACACAAAGAACAATACAATGTTAACCCACCTGCTGGTATTTTGGTTCCTGTTTCTTTCCAAACAGTCCTTGGCTCCGTGAGTGGGCTGAAACTGTTCACCTCTGCTCTGTTTTCCAGGACCACAAAGAGATGGCAGCTTAAAAGTCAGTAGACATGCTTCAGTGCTTTGATGAAGGAATTCCTCTTCCCTTCACTCTCACATTCCATATATATATATATATATATATATTTTTTTTTTTTTTTGGCTGCGTTGGGTCTTCGTTGCTGTGCGCGGGCTTTCTCTAGTTGCCGTGAGTGGGGGCTACTCTTCGTTGCGGTGCACGGGCTTCTCATTGTGGCGGCTTCTCTTGTTGTGGAGCATGGGCTCTAGGCGCGCGGGCTTCAGTAGTTGTGGCGTGCACGGGCTTAGGTGCTCCGCGGCATGTGGGATCTTCCCGGACCAGGGCTCGAACATGTGTCCCCTGCATTGGCAGGCAGATTCTTAACCACTGCGCCACCAGGGAAGTCCCTTCACATTCTATTTTTAAAGCCATTCTTGCTAAGTGTGTAGAACTAACCAGACCTCTCAAGACAATTTCATTTTGCATGTTTCACATCTAGTAACGCATCTCTTAGCTGGAGGCCTCTACATAGAAATGTTGGCCCCCAGAACTCCAGGCTGAACAGGGCACAAGTGGAGAAGGAGCAGACAAAATAGACATCAAAAATCCCCAAACTTGGACTTCCCTGGTGGCTCAGTGGTTAAGAATCCGCCTGCCAATGCAGGGGACACAGGTTCGAGCCCTGGTCCGGGAGGATCCCACATGCCACGGAGCAGCTAAGCCCGTGCGCCACAACTGCTGAGCCTGCACTCTGGAGCCCAAGTGCCACAACCACTGAGCCCGAGCGCCACAACTACTGAAGCCCGCACACCTAGAGCCTGTGCTCCGCAACAAGACACCACAATCAGAAGCCCGCTCACCGCAACTAGAGAAAGCCCGCGCGCAGCAACGAAGACCCAACGCAGCCAAAACTAAAAATAAATAAATACATACATAAATAAATAAATTTATTTTTAAAAATCCCCAAACTTTCCCCTATATTAATTAAGGCAGCAGGTTTTGTGGCAGGAGCCCCAGGCCCTGGGTTCTAGTCTGACCTTTGCTCAGACTAACCTAAGAGAGCCTTATGTTTCAGTTTCCTCATCCATAAAACAGGGACAATAATATCTACCTAAATCCACCAGGGGGATGCTATGAAAATAAAACACAACAACAAAAAAAGGCCACAATACTTCGGAAACAGTAGAAGCAAAATAAATGAAAGTCTATGCCCTTTATCCAAAAGAAAGACTTTGGAATCTGCTTACTCCAATTTTAACAAACTTAGTTAATTATATTTCCTAACCTATTCAGGCAACAAATGTGAGATTTGGGGATGGCAGCAAGATGCCTAAAGGTGAGAAGATACATAAAAATGATCATAATCTCTCTGGAATATGACCTCCAGAGGCTCTTATGTGGCGGCAGCATTGTATCAGGGAACATCACAATAACAGATGCTCAGAAAAATGTCATGGTCACCAAGGAAAGGCCAGTATATATTTAGAATATATCCAAAATAGGTATTTAGAATAATGGGAAGTTTGTAATGTTTTCATTCAGTATGATTAAAAATTTGAGAATGGAGAAATTAAAAGAATGAACTTCAATTGTCTGAAAAAATCATTGAGGTGAAAATGCCTTACTCCTGATTATGCTAGAAAACCAGGGTACACTTTTTAAAGAACAATTGAAATACGGTGTAATTGTTTTCCACATAGTCTCATGTACTAGTAGGTGGCTTCCAACAATGACTGTCATCAATTCCTTCCCTCCCTGACATTTGGGAGCTGGAATCTACTTCCCTCCCCTTGAATCTGTGCTGGCTTCATGACTTTGACCAACAGAAAAGCAGCAGAAGTGACACTGTCCTAGTTTTTAAGAGGCCTGCCCGCTTCAGCTTTCACTTGGGAAGCCAGCTGCCATGCTGCAGAGAAGCTTGGGTGAATGAAAAGCCAAGCGCGGAGAGAGGCCCTCTGGGGGAGCCTAAGGCACCAGACAGGTAAGTGAAGCCTTCTTGGACCTTCTTGCCCAGCCCAGCCTCCAGCTGAATGCAGTCGAGGGGGTGATCCCAGCCGCTGCCACATGGAATGGAAGAATCACTCAGTTAAGCCCTGTCTTATTCCTGACCCACAGAATTATGAGAAATAATAAAACATTGTTATTTTAAGTCACTAAGTTTTGGGCTTTTGTTGTTGTTGTCAGACAGCAATAGGTAACCAAAACACAGTATACAATAAAAGTTATTTCTAATGGTTTTCTAGCAAACTCTAACTTCCAATAGAAACAGAAAAATTAAGAATCTAAGTAAATTCTTTGTGCTTCCTCTTTACATAAAAACAAATGCCAAGGCTTTTCCAAATGTTCTAAGTGAGGACTGAAGCCTCACTGAAATTCAGCAAGGAACAGTGAAACAGCACTAGACTGGGAGTCAGAAACCTGCCCCTGACCAGCTGTGGGCCTCGGCAGTAGCGCAGCAAGGCATGGGGGTTAAGTGGGAGTCGTCTGCCCTGTGCAGGCCTAAGCGGGTGCACTGCAGGTGGAGGATTTTAAAACAATAATAAAACTCACCAAAAGCCTGCTTTTTATTACCATGAGCCAGAAACTCTAAATAATTTTAGTAATAAGATCTTCCTTCCAATGGTGCTGACCTCTCCTACTTCACCCCGCTCTCAGCCACACCAGTGGACCTTGGAAAGTTTAAGTCTCTGAGCTTGAGCTTCACACTCCGTAAAAGGATGGGCTCGATCCACCTCTAAAATTCTGATTCAAGAGGCCGCCAGCTCTGCATGTGTGAACTTGTTCAAATTCATTCGTTTAGTCCTTCCCTCAATGACTGTTTATCAAGTACCTTCTACGTGCTAGGCCCCCTTCCTGGTGTGGGGACACAGCATGAGTAAGACCTGTCCTTAAGAAGCTCATGGAGGAACCACTCTTCAACCCATGGTTTCTCACATCCTCTGAGGCATCTTCTTTGACTATCGAGTCCCTCTGTCCCCCACTGGTGCCTGAAATACTCATAGTAGAGCTTGTGGTTCATTCATCATAATATCCCAGGGTCTAATAAATAGCCTCTTGCTCTATAAATGTTTGTTGAATGAGTGAATGAATGAATGAATAAGCAACTTAAAATGGGGATTAATACCTGCCCAAGATACCATATTTGGTGAGCTGAACTATATAAAAGTGTCAATACTTGATTATTTTAACCTATAGAACAACAATTTCACATGGTTCAAACTTCTCTGAATTTACAGAGAAGGACATGGGCTGTGTGCTGGGTTTGGAACAGGAGGTGAAGAGTTATCTATCTTGGGCTTCTCTGGTGGCGCAGTGGTCGGGAGTCCGCCTGCCGATGCAGGGGACACGGGTTCGTGCCCCGGTCTGGGAGGATCCTGCATGCTGCGGAGCGGCTGGGCCCGTGAGCCATGGCCGCTGAGCCTGCACGTCCGGAGCCTGTGCTCCGCGGTGGGAGAGGCTACAATAGTGAGAGGCCCGCGAACCACAAAAAAAAAAAAAAAAAAAAAAAGAGTTATCTATCTTGGAATTCCAACCTAGAGGCCTTACTTCCCAAAGCCAAGAGGACCCCACGGTGAGTTGGCTGTGCTGACGTCAGTCCTTGCTCGCAGGTTAGGGGCAATGCTGAACCCGGCTCCAGATCCTGCTTATGCTGCCCTGCCCCCACTTCTCAGCCTTACCTGTTGGCCCTTCTCCGACTGATCCCTAGTGCTTTCTTCAGGGACTTGGGGGAAAGGGGTGAAAGGTGTCCAGCCACAGCTGCTTCTTTTCTTGGACCTTTTGCCAAAATGTCCTCCTTGAAAGTCTCTCATTGTTCTTGGAAACTTTGCTAGGGTCGGGCAGTTGCCCTCAGTGTCCGGCTGCAGGTTCCCTAGCAGCTGCATGGCAGGAGGAATATAGCTTGAAGCTGGGGGGCCCAGGGCTGAAGGCCAGTCATAGCCGTTTGCAAACTCTCTTGAGGAAGCCCACAGAGACCTGCCCCCCTGCTCCTTCTGTGTCATCTCAAGCTTATCTATTTTCTGTTGAATACTCCTCAGCAAATTGGCATTCTGGTGCATTAAGGTCTGTGAAATCTTTAGATTCAGCACACACTTACTGATGTACTGCTCGGTCAGGGACCTGTTGCTCACGTTGCCCTTGGCTCCTCTGGCTGGCTCAGGCAGGCTGGGTGAACTCAGTGAACCACTCTGCCAGCCCCAGTCCTCAAAGGAGAGCTCCGTGTCAGCTTCTGAAGAGCTGCTGTCCTCATGGGAAAAACAGCACGCCTCTCTCTCCATCTTTTCCAGCTCTTCTTCCATGGACTTCAGTTCATCTACCTGGTTTTGTCTGGCCCCCTCAACAGATGAACCAGTTCCCGGGGGCTCTTCCTCTTTGTCATCTCCCACGTCCAGGCAGCCTGAGTAGATTTCGTTGATTTCGAAGCTGCAGAGGCTCGCCTGACCTGGGCTGGGGCTCCTGGCCTCTCCCCCCACAGAGCAAGCAGGAGAAGCAGCGTCTTGGTTCTGTGTCTCCTGGGCCTCCAGACTTGGGTCTGGGCCCAGAGGCTCTGGTGCTGCTTTCTCGGTGAGAGTGGGGTGACCCCTTGGTGAATGAAGCTGGCCACCTGCTGAAAAGAGCAGCAACACGCAGTTGATTAAAGTGACTGCAGCAGCTCAGCAGCCTTGGCTTGTTGCTCCAGCAGCATGAGAACACAGAAAAAAGCTTTTCATCTTCCCACTCCCTTTCCAGTTAGGAAGACTACCAGATACACACACAGAGGGTGAGAGTGTATTTCTAACTATTTTGACGTGGGTTGAGATAGAAAATTTGGGGGACTTCTCTGGTGGCGAAGTGGTTAAGACTGGGTGCTCCCAATGCAGGGGGCCCGGGTTCGATCCCTGGTCAGGGAACTAGATCCCACATGCATGCTGCAACGAAGGAGTCCACCTGCCACAACTAAGGAGCCCACCTGCTGCATCTAAGACCCAGTGCAACCAAATAAATATATATATATGTATATGTAAGAGAAAAAAAAAAAGAAAATTTGGGAAGGATCAAACCCGGGAGGAAATGTTCTAAGCTTGAGTTATAGTATGTTCAAAACATGCATAACTTCAGGACAAGCAAATTACAGGCCCCTGAATCTTAGGACTAAATTCATACTTTACACTAAAGGTGTTTGAATATTCATATCAGTTCAAGTTGTGCTCTTTGTGAGCATCTGATAAAAGAAGCTGAGACACTGCCCAAGAATCCACTGCACTGAGAGAGATAATACCTCAAAAATTAACTCCAGGACTGACTACCCACCACCCCTGGTTGATGGTGTACAGCTCGCAGAGAATGGGTCGAAGAAGCCAAAGTAATAAGAGCTTGGAGGGCCATTCTGGAGGCTTCCAGGCCTGTCCAAAGAGTCAGAGAATAGTCACTTGGCTAGAATCCAAAGGCCTATGTTCCAGCTGCGTAATAAACCTGGAACTGTGAGCAAGCCACAACCTCTCTGAACCTTAGTTTTCGCATCTGGAATATGAGGGCATCAAGCCAGGTGATTGCAAGGTCCTTTCCAGCTCAGAGCTCTAAGGTTTCCAGGTATACTAAGAAGCAGTAAGGCTTTAGAAAACAGGTTGGAAGGAAACACCAAAGTGTTAACAAATTACTTCTGATGAACTAAAATGTTAAGTAATCTTCGTTGTATTGTTTAGAATTTTCTATAATGAGCAGATAATAGTTTTAAATTTTAAAATCACCAATTTTATTTGTGAAACAATTAAATACATTCCTAAATCATACTAGAAAGAAACAGGTTGTTACTGCACAGTTCTGGATCCAATCAAGGTGTATATGGAGCCCAAAAAGTTTAACTTAATAATTTTAAGGATCTTGATTTTTCCCTAAGGCACCCATCCTTCCCAGTATAAGTTATGAGTATAGTTTGGAGGAGTTGATTAGTTACAGCTCTCAGAACACATTCATGTCAAAACCTGTGGGTTAAGGCCATACCTGCTTCCTTCAGCTCTTTTATTTGCAATGGATGTTCTGAAGTCACTCCTAAACAGACATTGACATCAGGATGGAGTTCATATCTCTGCACCCTGGGACTCTTGGTTGGCTGAGTTCTCTGGGCTCCAATAAAATCCTGTAACAAGGGAAGTACTGGCAAGGACATATCTGCAATCATCTGAATGTCACCGGTGTTTTAGAAACATATCTAGGTGTCAAACAAACCCCCCGTTACCCCAGTTGGGTAGACTGACTGTAGTCCTGATAAACGAATTAACTGTTAATTACCAATATTTAAAAAGTAATAACAGGGACTTCCCTGGTGGCACAGTGATTAAGAATCTGCCTGCCAATGCAGGGGACACGGGTTCAATCCCTGGTCCAGGAAGATCCCACATGCCGCGGAGCAACTAAGCTCGTGCACCACAACTACTGAGCCTGCGCTCTAGAGCCTGTGAGTCACAACTACTGAGCCCATGTGCCACAACTACTGAAGCCCGTGCCCCTAGAGCCCGTGCTCCCCAACAAGACACCACAATGAGAAGCCTGCTCACCGCAACGAAGGGTAGCCCCCACTCGCCACAACTAGAGAAAGCCCATGTGTAGCAACAAAGACCCAATGCAGCCAAAAATACAAAAAAAAATAATAAAATAAATTTTTAAGAAAAGTAATAACAGTAGCTGTCATTCACTGAGTCGCACTGTGTGCCTACAGGGTGTCCCTTTTATGCACTGACACTCCGCAGCCTCCCCCCACAATTCCCTGCTGCCCTCGCCAAGTTAGGCAGTTAGAATTTTCTTGGGAGCACAGAAAGGGTGTAATGAAATGAAGATTTCCAAAATATCCTACAACTTGGTCTCTAGCTTCTTCTTGGTCTCTAACTCCCTATCCCCTGAGGTAGGTAAGCAGAAATAAACTCCCAACAACTTCACAGCTTACCTTTAAGTCATTTTTCAGAATATACTGGATATCTTGAAGGTTCATAGTTCGGTCTTTCTGCTTGACCTGGATGCCTGACTTAACAATGTCATAGTAAGGTTTCGGAAGCCTGACATCAGCTTCTAAATAATTTCCCAACACTATGGTTTCTTTAATAACTGAGCCATCTAAGTCATCCCAGGGTATGCTGTCTGTTAAGGAAAAAGCCATAGGAAGGAGAGACATTAAGAAATCACACGAAATTGTCTAACCTTTGTCAAGTCACTCAACCTCTTTAAAATTAATTTCTTTCTGTAGAAAAACTACCGGAAGCCCAATAACAAAGGAGAAACCACTTGACCCAAATAACAGGGAAATCCCTGCCACAGAGACAGGAAAAAATAGTGTCAGACTCATGTAGGTATGGACTCTCTGCTGGCAGACCTAGGGACCACAAGGGAATGTTTCCTGGTGTGAAGTAGGCTTGCCCAATATATTCATGTAATGGAAGGTGTGGTTTTTGCCTCTGAGACTGTAAACACTGCTAAATGGGGGCTGATTCTCACCCCCTTAATGAATGTGGCATGTATGCCTTCACCTTAGAGTTCTATATGTTTGGAAGGGTTTCTATGTCTTTTAAGTGACACTGCTTATACATACACTGCATTCTGGGTGTGTTTGATTTCACAGTTTACTTCTCAGAGGCCAGTCCTTTCCCCTCGTTTATAAGTTCTTAACATAGAGAACAGACTTGCGGTTGCCAAAAGGGATGGGGGAAAGGAGTTTGGAGTTGGTAGATGCAAACTATTACATTTAGAATGGATAGACAACAAGGTCCTAATGTATAGCACAGGGAACTATATTCAATATTGAACTACAGGGCTTCCCTGGTGGTGCAGTGGTTGAGAGTCTGCCTGCTAATGCAGGGGACACGGGTTCGAGCCCTGGTCTGGGAAGATCCCACATGCCTGCCGTGGAGCAACTAGGCCCGTAAGCCACAACTACTGAAGCTGCGCGTCTGGAGCCTGTGCTCCGCAACAAGAGAGGCCGCGATAGTGAGAGGCCCGCGCGCCGCGACGAAGAGTGGCCCCCACTTGCCATAACTAGAGAAAGCCCTCGCACAGAAATGAAGACCCAACACAGCAAAATAAATTAATTAATAAACTCCTACCCCAAACATCTTCTTTAAAAATATATATATATTGAACTATATTCAATATGGTTTTTCAATATGAGAAACCATAATGGAAAAGAATACAAAAAAAGAATGTCTCTATGTGTGTAACTGAGTCACTTTGCTGTACAGCAGAGATTGCACAACATTGTACATCAACTAGACTTCAATTTAAAAAAAAGTTCTTAAGGGGCACGTCACAGAGACCCTTCCCTAAGCATTGACAGCAATATTCAGTTTAAAAACGCTCCTTGGATTAAATGCATTACCACTGACAGGCTGATAGGTGGGCTTTGCTGAGTCTTAAAGAACAGGTTAAAAGAGAAAGATTTCTGGGAGATCATCTTATACCTTCCATAAACCCAAAGAGGTTTCCTTAAAGAAGTTTTTTTTTGCCTAAAACTAAGTAACTCTTGGGGGAAAAAAAATTCCAACCTAAGAATAGGGACTTTGGTCACCGTCAATGAGCTCTTTGATCTACCTGTTAAAATCTCCTGTATGATCACAGAAAAGCTGTAGACGTCTGACTTCACTGTGGCTGCCTTCTGTAAGATCACCTCCGGGGCGGCCCAGTTGTAAAGCTGGGTGGGGAGGGATACTCGAGTCAGGTCCTTGTGTACACCTCCATCCCGGCTACGGAAGGAAACACAAAGTAGGGCTCGTGTCTTAAAGGATCACTGTGATCACCACGCCGCACATGTGTGAAAACATTTGCCTCTGAAGACTGACAACCTCCTTGAGCTTCCAGAAACCAGCTAGACCCTGAGCTAACCCACACTGCCTGCTATTCCAACGCCTGCAACTCTTTACCGTTCCTACCCGAGCAGGCCCTGCCCTGCCTCCCAGCTCATCTGGCCGCTCTCTCCTGCTCACTCACTCCTCTCAAGTCACAGGGGCCCTCTTTCAGTTTCTTCAGCATGCCAAGTACATCACCACTTCAGGTCTTTGCACCGGTGGCTTCTTCTGCGTGGCATGCTCTGCCCGCAGATCCTAGCACGACTGGCTGCTTCTTGTAATTAAAGTATTAGCTCATAACACATATATGTGGAATCTCAAAAAAAAAAAGGTTCTGAAGAACCTAGGGGCAGGGCAGGAATAAAGATGCAGACGTAGAGAATGGACCTGGGGACACGGGGAGGGGAAAGGGTAAGCTGGGACGAAGTGAGAGAGAGGCATGGACATATATACACTACCAAATGTAAAATAGACAGCTAGTGGGAAGCTGCTGCATAGCACAGGGAGATCAGCTCCATGCTTTGGAGATCAGCTCCATCCCTCCCTAGAGGGGTGGGATAGGGAGGGTGGGAGGGAGACGCAAGAGGGAGGGGATATGGGGATACATGCATACATATAACTGATTCATTTTGTTATACAGCAGAAACTAACACAACAATGTAAAGCAATTATACTCCAATAAAGATGTTAAAAAAAAAAAAGTATTAGCTCAAAAATCACCTCCTCGGAGAGGACTTACCTGACCACCTAATGTAAAGTAGTCCCAATTTATTGGCTTCAGAGGACTTATTATCTGAATTTCTTGTTCATTGATTTATTGTTTATAATCTGTCTCCCCTCCACCAAAGTCAGCTCCACGAGGGTAGGCCACTTATCTGTCTCCTGTATCACCATATCTCTAAACTTATACCAGGGCCTCAATGCTTACCTTTTGATTAAATGAACCTAAGACCCTTTCAAGAACCCCCTCAAGCCCCACCTGCTTTATCAAAGCCTTCTGAGACTCTTCCAGCTCTTCGTGATTGCTTCTTTTCTGAGCTCTGCCCTCTTGGGAATGAGCCCTCTCAGTTTAGCACTCAAAGGTTCACTGATTGGCTTGAATAACTCAACTTCGCAACCAGGCTCTTTGAGAACTAAGTCAGAGTATCCTAAATGTCTTCTGGGCCAAAGAGAGTCCTCAGGGTGATCAGCACTGACTTCTGCCCACAGCTGTCATGAGCATCAAATGAGATCACACGTGTGGGAACACTCGGTGAACCATAAAGCACTAAGCAAGTAAGGAATTAATATGAACATTATGGTAGGCATTTGGTAAAGACTTGGTGACTGCTGGTTGATAATTAAGAATTAAGTTTTTGGGAATTCCCTGGAAGTCCAGTGGTCAGGACTTGGCGCTGTTACTGCTGGGGCCCGGGTTCAGTCTCCCGCGGGGAACTAAGATCCTGCAAGCCGTGCAGCGTGGCCAAAAAAAAAAAATTAAGTTCCTAAAAAGCAAGTAACCAGAAGTTCTTTTTGCTGGCAAAGGAAAGCTTTTAGAGGATGGGATGGACTTCTCAGACTTTGAACAAACTTCCCTAAGTAATATTTCTTCCGGTAGAACTTTTGATAGATGGCAATGAGTTCAGGAAGCCATGAAGCTATAAAAGACTGTATTTTTGTTTTCTTTTCTCTCTTTTTTTAAAAAAAAAGATGGTACATTTAGACTCTTTAGTTGTATTGCTCAATAGGCAAGTGTGGCCTACGTGTCATGTGAACAGCGTGGATACACATGCAAATATTATATTAGTATCACAGGAAAAGCAATGTCGTGTTTTATTGTCAGAGATATATTCTGAGGACCTAGCATACTTGGCTCTTCACCTTGTAGGCTGACTGTCCAAAGGAGACACTTACTGACCCTCTTGGGCCTCTCAGGCTGCCTAAGGCAAGGGACAAGTTATTTACAATCAGGATTTATATCCTTTCTCTTTTACTTCCACTCTTCTGATCCCTCTTCCTTCTCTGTTAACGCTAGTGGGGTGTAGGAAGGGAGTTTCTTTTCTGGCTGTCATTCCATGGTAGTTATTTTTCTGGGCTTCAGCTTTGACATCATTAAAATTACATTTGGCTATGGCTATGTGATACCACTTGCAAGGTCAATTCCAGCTCTAAAGATTCCATTGAGAAGGAGTTGAAGAATAGGAGAAACTGCTGTATCATTTTTACACCAAGAGATGGAGTGCTACCCTTAACGATGACATTCAACAACTGTACCGGCCTGAATAGAGTGCTACCAAATATAAATGTAGAACTGAAAGCTGTTTTGTATTCTTGGGTAATCAACTCACATTATGAGCTGTCAAATGTTGCTGATGGACATTTCTGCCCAAAGTTCCATTCTGAGGTCAACAAGCCCAAAAGAACTCACACTTTCCTACCCATTTACTTCACAGCCCCTCACTTGACCAGTCTGTGGACCCCAGCTTCTCGGTGCATCTCACATCTTTCCCTTCTATTTTGGTTCCTTGGTCACCACCAGGCCCTGCCCTGTGGCCTCCTGGCTGGTTTTTCTACCTTCAACCTCCAATCCATCCTGCCCCTATAAGCCAGGAAACGTCCTCTACCACCTGATTCTAGCCACAGCTGGGTAACCTCAGACCACCTCTTCACCTCTCTGGGCCCCAGTTTCCTCTTCTATAAAAGGACAGCGTTGGGCCTGGCCATCTCCAAAGCTCCGTTTCACTCTAGGATTCACATTTCTACTGGAGAGCTCAAGTCAAAGAAACTGTTATACCCCCATTTCAACAACAGATGGCGCCGCATCACTGGCAAACAGCTTGGGTTCTGTCAGCCTTCTTGAAAAGCCTGTTATCAACAACAAACATGTCCAAATCCCTTAGCTTCTACTGCCCTTGAACACACAGCCAAAGTGGTGAACCCTGTTCTGAATCATTTCAAAGTTTCCCTTCAGCTAGACTCAACCATTCACTTCAAATGCTTCCTGAGCACTTACTGTGTGGCAGGCTTGAGGTGGGTGCTAAAGATGAACAACTCATGGCCCCTGCCCTCTCGGAGCTCGCCATCTGGGGGGGCAGAGACACTCGGCTGCAGGGGAGTGAAATATGCTCAGTGAGGTGGGGACAGGGCTTCAGTATAGGCTTCACGGGGTGTGGTGGGAGACTGTGTCAGAAGTGAGTTTAAAAGGATAAAAGGGAGTGTCAGGTACTCTGGAGGCAAGGAGCAGAGCGCTGGGAAATGGCGTGGACTGAAAGTGTCTTCAGATGGCCAGGCAGAGTGGGAGGGAGGTGATGAGCATGGCACTGTAGGCGGAGCCCGACCTTGGAAGGCTTCTCACCCTGCAAAGTGCCGGGACTTAATCTAGGCCATGGGAGCCACTGGGATTGAGAATGGACCAGATCTGAGACTGAGCCACTCAACTGGCGACAGCTGTTTGGCCTCCACCGGTTCCCACATGGAAAACTGCTCCAGTCACACCCTAACTGTTCCCCTGCTTCTCTCTCGTCCCGTCACAGCCCCTTCTCCACATGGCAGGAGTGAGGGGGTCTGCTTAACCTGTAAATTTCAGCCATGACACCATTCTGCTCAAAAAAAACATTCACAGCATCCCCGTGTTCTTAGGGTTAAATTCAAACTCTTTGCCAAGGTCCATGAGGTCAAGCACAATCTGGTCCCTGCTCCCCTCTCCAGGCAGAGAGACCAAGGGCTCATGCGGTCAAGGAAGTGAATCTTTCCACTTCATTCATTTAAACAACATGCTGAGCTCCCACTGTGTGGAGGCTTATTCTAGGCATCTGAGACATGGCAGCGGATAAAACAGAAATCCCTGCCCTGGTAGAGATTTTCATGTAGTGAGAGAAGTATATTATGAGCATGTGAGCAGCAAAGACCTGCTGAGAGACTCAGAAACAAAGCCTCAGTGATGGTGGTAGGTGAGGACCAGGGTAAGTGGAGGTAAGCAGATCTAAGCCATGGGTCTGCCCATGGCTGAGGCCTCACAGCAGCACAGGAACAACCCTGGGCCTAGGGCTCAGAGCTGTGGACAACAGCAAGGAAGCACAGGGGAGATCCTCTGCTCCCCAGAACCTAGGGGCAGGAGATGGGGGCCAGCCCTCAACTCTCAGGAGGACTCAGACTCCTGCCAAATTGGAAGTGAAGCCCATCCACCAACCCTTGAATAAGGGCATTGTTTTTTGTCACTGCTTCCCTCACAGCACTGATCCCCACCCATCTGGACCAGGACCATAACGCTCACCAGCACCCATCGCCTTCTCGCTCCTTCCAGGATGCACAGCTGTGGTGCATTTCCCAGCCTCCCTGCAAAGAGGTGACTGGGCTCTGGCCAATGTAAAGTGGGAAGCGACGATGCACACGCTGCAGGTAGTCCCTAAGCCCCGCTGCGTCCCTCCAGGCTTGCTCTTGCTCGTTGACCAGCAATGCAGAGGATACAGTGGGGGGACTGAGGCCTGGGGGATGGTGGAGCCACAGCGGGGAGGAACGTGGAACATAGTGAATGCCGCCACCACCCCCTCCCACACACACACACACACACACACACACACACACACACACACACCAGAGTGCAATGTGAGAAATACTTTGGTTGTGTGAAGCCACAGAAAATTTTGAAAACTTATACATGCTGGCTAATGTGTACTCATGCTTGTTAAATGTTTATTAAAATGAGAATGTCCTGAGCAGAAATAACTTCCCCAAAGTCCCTCTAACCTTGGCTGACAGGGCAAGGCACTGGGAAACCTCTTCCTCCATGGATAGCCAGCTCAGCCCACCAATGAGGAGTCAAGCCCAGATCAGATTCTCTCTCTATATCAAAGCACCCCCAGGGAGATCCTGTTTGGACGTCATGATTGAGGTGCACCCACCTTTCCATCATGTACTCCAGGTTGGTCAGCCTCGCTTCCCCTGTGGAGACGATGTGGATGGCGTAGGAGCTGAGGGAATGGTGGATAAAGCCCCGAGAATGCAGGTACCTCAGGGCGTCGGAGGTCTGGAGTAGCAGGTGCACGATCACCTCCATGTGCAGTATGGGGAACTGGGCCCGCTGCAAGCAAGAGATCAACCACCAGAACAAGGGGGACTGCGGCCCCTGACACTGTAGAATGCTTTGTAGTTCCCAAAGTCTTTTCAACTGATCTTCACGACAGCCACCTAGTGTGCCCATTTTATAGCTGGGGAACCTAAAGCTCAGGGAAGTTAAGTGATCGGCCTAAGGTCCCACTGACCCAGGGCCCCTGGCTCCAAACCTGGGTTCCTTTCCCTCAGCCAAGCTGCTTGATACCGTGAAAAATGAGGAGAAAAGTCCTCAAAGCCTGGTACACTCCTCCAGAGTGGGCCTGCCACCACCAGCAATGCGCTTGCCCCGCTCCCCATCCCCAGCCAAGCCTGTGCTGCGGGAGAACCTAGACACGTAAAGGACACTCCATCCCCTACCACAGTCAGATGACCTAGAAAGTTCATCCTAGGAGGACAGAAATTCACTCACACCAAAGTACCCAATCATAACAGGTCTCTCCCCAGAGAAGTGGCATTTTAAGTTAACGCCCTCACCCAAGGAGAGGAATGGGAACTAAGACACTAACAGGAGGTGCTCAGGCAGGAGGAATGGCGAGCCATTTCAGGGAAGAGCCCTTCCTGGAGGGTCTCTTCTCACTCCAGCCCAGGGTCTTTAGAACAAAGTCATGGAGAAAGAAAAACAAATCTTTCAGGACCTCTCTGAAGCCACATGTCAGCCCAAAGCATGTTTCCCAGGGAGTCTGTGGGTCAGGGAATATGTCCCCGCCTCCACCAGGAAGTCTGAAAAGGGAGAGGGGACTGATAAAGACTTGCATATAAAGGTCCTGCAGGGCACCAGTGAAAATACCGGGAAGTAAGACCAGAGGCTGTTTGATTATAGTTAGCTAAAAGTGTGGCTATGTGTTTTCTGGGTCTACTGAGCTCTTAGATGTCTGATAAAAAAGCAAGACAAACAGTAATAAAATCACACTAGTTCCAACGTGCTGATCAGCCTTAAATGATGTGTTATATAGCTCCCACAGAGTAAAGAATTAAGAGGTTTCTCAACTCTTCTGCTGGGGGAGAAGGAAGAGGGAGGAAGAGAAGGGAGAGCTGGGGCGGGGGGTGGGGGGGAGCAAGGGAAAAACCCAGGGAAACGGCCATTTACCCGTTCATGGAGGACAGAGAACAGCGTGCCGACGGCGACGCGCTCATACACGAGGCGGGTCTTCTGCAGGCCCTGGGACAGGCACACAGCCATCAGCTGTAGCAGGTGAGGGTGCCGCAACTTGCTGCAGAGGGAAGGAGGCTTCCGATGAGGCGGAGGGAAGAGGACATGATGGAAGATGGGCGCTTTCCTTTCTTCTTGGCACCCTGAACGCACTCCAAACAAATACTATTTGCACAGAATGTTCTTCCAAGAAAGGGGGATGGGGTGGGAGTAGGGGTCTCTGTTGGTGGAACCCTTGACCTTTCACTGATCAGAACCTGAGGGCTTAGGGTCATCAACGACAATGTCACTAAGAGCTACTAAGCAAGGCACTTTACACACATCAACTTGATCCTAACAACCAGTTGCAAGAAAGGTATCATTACAGTTACACTCATTTTAGAGATGAGGAAACCAAGGTCAGGGAGATGTCAGGCCCAAGGTCATAGACCCTCACACCAAAATCCACGCTGCGGGGACTTCCCTGGTGGTCTAGTGCTTAAGAATACACCTTCTAATGCAGGGGACGTGGGTTTGATCCCTGGTCGCAGAACTAAGATCCCACGTGCCACAGGGCAACTGAGCCCACGTGCTGCAACTACTGAGCCCGTGCACCGCAAAGGAAGATCCCTCGTGCTGCAATAAGACCCGACACAGCAATAAATAAATAAATATTAAAAAAAAAAAATCCATGCTGCGTCTATGAGCCCTTCCAGCCTCCTTGAGTCCCTTTAGGATGACTTCTCCAAAAGGAAGGATCTGGCTTTACAGGAGTTGAGTGATTTCCTCAGGAGAGAACTCGATGAGCCAGGGCCTATTCCAAGGCCTCAGCAGCCCTGGTATGAAACCGAGGATGGATTTCCTGCCCCTTTGAAAGACTAACCCCTGAGCCAGAGGAAACTTAAGGTACTGAGACCCATCAGCGTGTCGTCAAAGGAGAGACATGGTTCCTCAGACACGTGGGTCTCCAGCAGAGCCATGCTCTATGAAGACAGTCTTGCACACGCTGACCTGATGGGCACAGGGCCCAAAATAAGGTGGGCCTCAGAGGCTGCAGAAGAGCCCGCCAGGCCTGAAGGCTGCACCTCAGAGACACAAGTCATGGGGAGTTGATCAGCTGACTGAACTGAGCCCCTACCACCACCATCCCCACACTCAGGCTATTCATGAGTTCTTCTTCTTTCTTGGCAGCCCTGGGAAGTCAAATCAACCTACAACGAGGAAGTGCTGAGGCTGAGGGGGCTGGTCTCCACCCTCAGGCACAGCCCTGCACAGCCCTGAACTTGGGTCTGAAATGCTCTTGGGTTTTCTTCTCACCTGCTGTGCTCTAGCTCAGCAATTAACAAGTCAGCCAGCCGCCGCCTGCGGCAGTGCGGGTGCGTGGGAAGATGCAGCTCCTTCACTGTGACCCTGCTCCCGTTCCACAGAAGGCTACAAGGGCAGGAGAGAGTGGGAGCAGAAGGGAATGAGCAGCCACTGCTTCAGTGAGGAGCTCTGTAGCCAGAGATCAGAGAAGTAGTGTTTATACAGACTCTGTAAAGCCCCCACCCCGGCACTGCTGGGTCCTCCCTCCTACCACCCCCGGGGGCCTAAAGCACTTCAGGGACTTAGTGCAGGTGGCAGGAAGTCACTGAAGGATTTAAGGGAGGGAGGGACTTGATCAGGTTTGTATTTTAGAAAGACAAGGGTACCAGCAGCATGGGGAATGGGAGGGCAGGGGTGGTCTGGAGAATGAGAGGCCACTTAGGAGGCTAGCCTGGGGGAGGGACAGTGATGACGTGGGCAAAGGCCACAGCAGTGGACAGAAGAAGAGGGGATGTGACAACAAGTCTGTGGCACGGGCAGGAAAACAAGAAGCATATCTTCAGGGGATACAGAGCCTTGCGGGTCTGTAGAGGCCTTTTTAGAAGGGTGTGACTTCTAAGCAGGGAAGAGGCAGCCAGGTTCAAGGAGGACAAGAGACCTTGGCCAGGACAACTCCTGTGATCCCGCAGTAGGCAGGTCTCTGGGGACTGAGAACATCCCAGGGACTTTCATCACAGCCAAATCCTATTACTGCCGCCTCTGCTGCATTTGGCTGGTGAGAGCCATGCAGGGCTTCAGTACCCTTTGACCTGAGGCCAGACAGTCACCCCTATGCTGCCTCTAATTCTCTAGAGAGTAGAAAGGTTGAAACACTGTCATGAGTAATCTTTCAGAGCGGTTGTTCTCAACAAGGGGCCATTTGGCCTTGTCTGTAGACATTTTGGCTGTCACAATCACAAATGTAGGGGGTTGCGGGGAGGCAAACACAGTTGCTACTGGCATCTAGTGAGTAGAAACCAGGGACACTCCTAAACATCCTACAGTGCACAGGACAGCCCCCAACAATAAAGGATAACAAAAATGTCAATGGTGTCCTGGCTGAGAAATCCTGATCCAGACATCTGCTTTTCAGTGTGTCCTTGTGTTTGGGCAGAAACCCTCCACACACAAGGAAGTCACTAAAGTCCATCCTTCCTGTGGGACTAAGTCTCACCTCCACTGGCCAGCTTCCACTTACTTGGTCATGACCATGTAGGGGCCACTGAAGAAAGAGAAGGTGGGTTCATCGTCAGCTTGAATCACTTCCTTTTCTCCAATTACTGGAAGAGATCCTAGATAAGCCAGCTGCGTGCCCCCTGTGAGGTAAAACTGAAAGCAAAGCACAGCTTCAAATGGTGGGGAAAAACTCCTCCAGAATTTTACCAGCCAGCTAAAAATAGAGAGAGCTGCTATTTATCAATTTGCTGAATACCCCTATGCACCGGACATAATTCTTTTTATTATCTTTAATCTTCCAAGAGGCACTGCAAGGTTGTAATACCCTTTCCCTTTTGCTAGCTAGGAAACCACAGGCTCACGGAAAGAGGTCAGATGCCGGCCTGAAGCACCAGGCCTCAGGCGCCTCTTGAGACACCCACAGAACAGGCCTGGGGCCTTCACTGGGAATTAAAGGATCATTGTCTAAAACTCCCCAAATCTAGCCCAAAGGCATTCAAGAGAACTCTCCAAGGTTTTCATCATTTTTCAGTAAGGACAAGAACACTAAGAGGTGGTACTTGTCCTGCAAGAGCAGTAAAGAACAAAAAAAAAACACTTTGGAGAGGGAGTATTTTAACTTTCCATAGGAAGGAAGGGTTGGACACAGTTGTGGGCCCTGGGGCCAGAGCCAGGGCCGGGCGATTCCCCAGTTAGTCCTGCAAACATTGAGTGTTGGTAGCAACCTCTTACCTTTCCAAAGCCAAAGCTGTAGATATTTTGGGCAGAAATGACTCCAGCTTTAGGCAGTCGGTTAGGAGAGCCATTAGGGCTTCTAGAAATATTTAAAAGAGGAGGAGAAAAGTAAGGATTAACTACCCATATCTAGAGGAACAACGCTGAACCAAGCTGTCAGAATGCGTAGTTGGTTTTGTCTTTACTACTTGACAGTGGAAGTCAGCCTCTGAGAGGGCCGCAGTGATTCCCATTTCCTGGTATTCATGCCCTTGTGTAGCCACACACAGGTCAGAGAGGGCTGGCCTGTTAACCTAATGGAATACTGCAGAAATGATGGAGTGGTGTGAGTTCCAAGGCCACACCCCCGGGACTTCTGCCCTGATCTCTCTCGCAGCACTTGCTCTAGAGGAGGCCAGTTGCCATGTTGTGAAGACACTCCAGCAGCCTAATGGGGAGGCCCAACACCCAGCACCAATTTGCTAGCCATGCAAGTGAACCACCTTGGAACTGGATCCTCCAGTCCCAGATGACTGCAGCCCAAGCTCCATCTTGACCACATCTTCATGAGAAACCCTGAGCCGGAGCCACCCAACTAAGCCATTCCCATTGGAATGGCTGAGTTGGGTGTAGCCATTCCTGACCTACAGAAATTATGTGAGATACAAATATTTATTGTTGTTTGAAGCCACTAAGTTTGGGATTAGTACAACAGATAACGAACAGAGTTGGTCAAAGTTGGAAAGAATCATAAAGCATACCTTGTCCAACTTTCTCATTTTACAGATGGGAAAAATGGAGCCAGAAAGGGGAAACCTGCTGGCCTGAGGTCACAAAACAGCAGCAGGGACTAGGCTTTGGCCCTTTTAGAAGGAACTTGGTCTGCCAAGATCCTAATGCTGGCAGGAGCGGAGGTGTAAGAGATGGAAGAGCTGAACCAAGCATGGGCTCCAAGGCCAGATGGGGGATTTGGGAGTTTAACCTGATAGCCTTGGGGAAGACCCTGAAAGGGTTTTTAGCAGTGAGTGGCACAATTCGATTTTCATTTTTAAAAGGTCATTCTGGATGCTGAGTAAAGAAACAAGATGGACAAGAGTGGCAGCAAGGAGAGCAGTTAGGAGTAACTGGTCCTCGAGGGAATCGTTAACTCATCTTGCATGAGAAGCATCCAGGTCATGAGAGGAAAACCAGGACTCAGTGTGCACAGAATGAGATGCGGGAGCCTGTGAAGAGTGTGACAAGTCTACTCACCCTGATCACAGAAAAAGATGCTGTCAGAGAAAATCAAAATGGAAAGAATTTTCCACATATAAATCCTAAGTCTTAAAGCCCAGGGAACTTAAAATAACTCTCCTGAGCATGAAGAGAAGCCTGGATGGAGCTCACCTCCTGCAGCTGTGATGGGGACAAGGGGAGGCTGCCCACCCAGGTGGCAGCAAGTCTTACACCAGCTTAAAACAGCCCAAGGAACCTTAAATTAAGCATTGTGTCTTTTGCAACCTTAGGAGATAAAGGATGCATGTTCCAATAAAGGAACACGTTTTCCATGGTTCCGAGATGACAAAAAAAAAAAAGCTAGCCAGCTGCTCTGCTAAGAAAGTGTTTTCTGCTGGGCAGCCCAGGCCTGAAAAGTTCCTTCCTTCTCTGCTAACCATGGGGTGGTTCCCACTGGAGCCCAGAATTCATTTCCCCCAGACGTTCCTGGAAGCCGGGGGACAACTGAAGGTTTTCATGGCAATATCCTCTCCCTCCAAGCTCACCCCTTTGGGTGGGCCAGTTGCTGGAAGGGACCAATGTGGAGGGGACCGAGGGCTCCCACAAGGAAGGCAGGGGTGATGCAGAACATCCCAGTCTGCTTGAGGCAGCACTCACCCCTGCATGAGGCCCCCAAACCGGGGCAGGCCACAGATGAGCCGCTGAGGGGAGTCAATCTTCTTCAGGAGGTCATAGGAGAAGCCCTGGATGATGGCCTGCATGTGCGCAGCACAGCGCTGCATGAACTCCACCATCTGCAACACACGGCAGAGACAGTCAATGCCCACACAGCTAATGGCCACCCTGGCCTTCAGTGGGATTGGAATGGTCTGAGGGGAGTGCTCTGAGGAGACAGAAGCCCCCCACAGGGAAACCTCTGGAAAGGGAAGGGCCCAAGTGACTTCCTAAAGATATGGAATGAGATGATTCCATTTTCAGGGAGCTCATTTGGCAATAATTACCTCCAAATCCTTCATTCAACGGATGAGGAAACTGAGGCAGGAGGAGTATTTTAACTTTTGTCCAAGGCCCAATAGCTATTGAGCAGGAGAACCAGAGGGAAGGGACTCTGCCCATCTCCCCCTTCCCTCCACGTGCCCTTTACATTTGTTAGATTATTTAGCCCTCATTAAAACACATTATGCCTGCCAGCGAGTGGCTACAGACAAGTTATTTAATGTCAATGCACTTCAGTGTCCCCATCTGTAAAATGGGGACAATAATAGTACCTACCTGAGAGGGCTGTTGTAAAGATTAAATGAGTATTTAATTTAATTCAGAACGTCTGATGCACGACAAGTGCTAGTTAAGGGTCAGACGAAATCACAGTTGTTCTCCCTCCCCACTGAATGGATGACCAGAAAAGTTCACTAGACTTGCCCAAGGTTTACAGTTGGTTAACTTGCTTCAACCCAGGCCTGTGTGTCCAATGTCAATGGCAAGGCCACTACAAGTCCTGTGCTGTCCCCAGGACCAGCCTCTGCCCCTGGGTGCCCGACTCCCAGCCCTGTGCTCTGCCTTGGGTGTGCCTGCAGAGCGGGCCCACACTTACCGCGGTGCCGCGTTCCTTCCCTGCTGCCAGAGCCCAGGTCTGCGGGTTCTGACCCTTCTCATCATGGAGTCGAAGATCACCCCCTGCATCCAGCAGTTTGCTGAGGATCCACTGATTGCCTGAAAATGCTGCTGCATGGATAGGAGTGCTCCCATCAAAGCAGCGGCTGGAGGTGGGGGAGGGGTACAATGAGTGTCCATGGCAACACTCTTCCCCTTCCATGGGTAACACAGGGCTCCTTTTCTACAAAGGCAACCTTTGGTGATGAGAACTGTAACAACACCATTTGTGAGGCCTAACGACACCTATCTGGGGCCTCACAGAAGCTTTATATACATCCCCCTTTTCCATGTTTACCTCCACCCTTCAAGGCAGTATTATTTCTCAATTTATAGATGAGGAAACGAAAGGGCAAAGCCAAGATTCACACCCAGGTATGGGTCTGGTTCGAAATCCAGTGTTCTTTCCCCACAGCCCCCTGATACTGGCTGCCCTGAAGCAATTTCTTCACGTCTGTAGCGCCCTGTGGTCAGGCTGGTGAAGCACAGCCTCACCAGAGACCACCTCATGTGAAAATGTCTCTACCTCCCAAGTCCTATGGTGAGGCCCACAGACCCTGGCATCAGCAATCTGGTCAAGGATCTACAGCTCAGAAAAATTTAACCAAAACCAGTAAACTATCTGAGACATGAAGGGACAGCCTTTGTGAGATGTAGAGATGTGATGTGTAGCTGTGGTTTCCTAACCTGGTTGCACGTCAGAATCACCTGCAGAGCTTGCTTGCTCTTCTTTTTTGGCCGCACCCAGCAGCATGCGGGATCTTAGTTCCTTGACCAGGGATCAAACCCCCGCACCCCCTGCAGTTGGGAGTGTGGAGTCTTAACCACTGGACCACCAGGAAAGTCCCAGAGCTTGCTCTCTTTAATTTAAAACGAAACACAAATGGTAGGAGGAAGCAGAAAGGGAAGGAGAAGAAGAAATAAAATGAAAAAGGAGATAATAAAGATAAGAAGAAAGTCTCCCAATTCCAGACCCATACACAGTTCTCTTGCCGAGAGGCAGCTACTGTTACAAGTTTTTATATCCTTCCAGAAATTTTCTATGCATATACAAGTAGGAATAAGAATATGCTATATTAGGAATTCCCTGGCAGTCCAGTGGTTAGGACTCAGTGCTTTCACTGCTGAGGGCCTGAGTTCAATCCCTGGTCGGGGAACTAAGATCACACAAGCCGCATGGTGTGGCCAAAAGAAAAAGAACGTGCTATATTAACTGTTATGCTTTTACATTTTTTCATTTAATAGTATATCTTGGAGGGAATTCCCTGGTGGCGCAGTGGTTAAGAATCCGCCTGCCAATGCAGGGGACACAGGTTCAAGCCCTGGTCCGGGAAGATCCCACATGCTGTGGAGCAACTAGGCCCATGCGCCACAACTACTGAGCCTGCGCTCTAAAGCCCGCAAGCCACAACTACTGAACCCATGTGCCACAACTACTGAAGCCCATGCGCCTACAGCCCGTGCTCTGCAACAAGAGAAGCCACAGCAATGAGAAGCCCATGCACTGCAACAAAGAACAGCCCCTGCTCGCCGCAACTAGAGAAAGCCCACGTGCAGCAATGAAGACCCAACATGGCCATAAATAAATAAATAAATAAAATTTTTAAAGTATATGTTGGAGAATTTTCCATATGAGAACATACAAGTCACCCCAATTCTTTTTTAACAGCTGCATAGTATTCCAATGTACAGATTTACCATAATTTACTTAATAAGTCATTGGGATATTTGTCAAATATACAGATTCTCAGACTACACAACAGACTGAATCATAACCTGCAAGCATAGAGCCCAGGAATGTGTACTTTTTACAAGTTCCCCAGCTGACGCCAATGAGGCTGGCCTGTACCCAGGCATCTGGCAACCGCTGGGATATCTCATTGTGAGCTCTCCCTTATTGCTGGGTCTGATAAGCAATCCAGCACACTGCGCTATGGGAAACGTAATATCCTCCCTGCTTTATTTTATTATTTATTTATTTATTTATTTATTTTGCGGTACGCGGACCTCTCACTGTCGTGGCCTCTCCCGTTGCGGAGCACAGGCTCCGGACGCGCAGGCTCAGCGGCCATGGCTCATGGGTCAAGCCGCTCCGCGGCATGTGGGATCTTCCCAGACCGGGGCACGAACCCGTGACCCCTGCATCGGCAGGTGGACTCTCAACCACTGCACCACCAGCGAAGCCCCCTCCTTGCTTTAAAAATAAATTTGTATAATGTTTTACAGCCTTCTAATCATTCTTCCCATAAATAGTAAGAGAGCTGGGTAGGGAGAGAGAAGATATTATTTGTCATTTCTTGTGAATGCTAAGGAAGAAAAAAATAATGTTTTTTATACCCAGCTAACCCTTACAAGGGAATCCAGGTCCAAGTGATATCAAAATGTGTATTTTTTTATTAATTTATCCTAGAGGTTGAAAACTGGAGGCCCACAGAGTGATTTGGCAACCCAGAGGCATGTTTTATTTGGTCCACATAGTGTTTATAAAAAGAATTTAAAGTAATGGACAATACTTAACACTTTGGGGATTTCACAATAAAAACTGGGATTTCCAGCCTCTTGGAAATTTGGAATATTTGGCCTCCATGGCTTCCTTTTCTGCCCAGCTGCAACAGATGCCCCTTAGACAGAGCCTGTACCCACTGACCCCACTTAGTCCTGCAGGCATCTGACTCTGTGACCTCAATACGCCCAGGCCATCACAGCATTTCCATTGAGCACTTAGGAATACAACTTCCCCCCAGAAATTTCCCTTCCCTTGATGGAACATATTTTTAAAGTACATGAAAGCATTCCTATCACAAAATAAAAAGCTACAGGGTCTGCCTTCTTCCTCTTGATATTGTCCTTTCCCACCTCCCCCTGGCATCATGGGGATTTCTAAAAAGGGAACTTCTTCAGGTGCTGGGCTCCTGGTCTCAAACCCTATCATTAACACAATGCACCATTATGGACCAGCCATTTAAACTTTCTGGAATATTAAAGGTTTGAATGATTTCTTCTTTAAAGAACCTAGCTCTAAACTTCCACAAAACAGATGCAAATGCAGACGACTAGAAAATGCTGCATTTTTGCTGAGGAACTGCAGAGCTAATATGGCCTCTCTGCAAAGCTGTTATCTGCAAACATCAAGTGAGATAGCCCTTTATTTCTGAGTTTTGATATTAAACACTGATACAGTAGAGACAAATATATGCAGATATGCAAGTCCAGAAAAATTCTGGAAGGAAACAAAGCAAAATGTGCACTGTGTTATGTCTGGGTTTCAGAATTCTCATGCTGATTGGTTTTTTCCTTTATACTTCTCCAAGCTTCCAAGGTTTTTCCCACTAAGCAAACAATCTTATAACAACATACAAGCTTTCAACATCAATATTTAAAAAAAAAAAAAATTAAGCGGCCTCCTTCTGTAAGATGGGAAAGCTATTTTATGACTTATGATTGTGTTTATTCTGGCATTCCTGTGAAAATCGGCTGGAATCATATAAACGCTCGAAATCTGTTTCTGGTTCTGTCCAATGGGAACTGTAAAAATACCTGCTGTTCCCTGTCGAAGAGTTGGTTGTAAAGCTTTAGTGAGCTAGTGCCTGGGAAGGCCCTGGAAAAAGCAAAAGTCCTACACAAAGAGAAGAAATGTTCACTTGTCGTTGATTCATTACATTGTGTTGCTGTTCCATATTAAAATTTGGACTCAGATTCTTTTAAACCACAACTACAAAAGTCATCCTGACAAAGTGATGCCAAATATATTAATTGGTGAAGAACTTGGTTGTGGGGTATGTTAAAGTGCAAATCATACAAACTACAAAGCACGGTGGAAATACATAAACAGTACTTGTTAATGACTAAATGAGTAGAAAGGTTCACTTATTTCACAGGGTCTAGTAAAACTGCTTCGAAAACTCCTTATTTACAGTTAAAAGCATGTTTCTGGTAATTTCCTGGTGGTCCAATGGTTAGGCCTCTGTGCTTCCACTGTTGGGGGCCCAGGTTCCACCCCTGGTTGGGGAACTAAAACACTGCAAGTTGCACAACCAAAAAAGTGAAATAAACAAAAGCATGGTTCAACGTTAGGTAATACAAATGTATTTCATTGGCATAAATTAGTGAAGGTTCTTTTAAAATCTTACCAAATTAGTTTCCAAATACCTCAATTCATTTTAAAAACTTATTTTCTAGGTAGTGATGTCATTGTACTTACTGATTTGGATCTGATCCATAATCCACCAGGACATCAACTAATTTTGTAAGGCCTAATAATGCTGCAATAAAAAGCGCTGTCTGGCCCAGGGAGTTAACTGCATCGACATACACGCCTGCAAAGAAAACACCAGGATCAACACAAACACACAACAAAAATTAAGCTTTGTTTTTACAGTACTTTTAATGTATTACTAATGCAATTTCCCTTTTTTTAAGAAAAAGAAAAATGAAAACCTTCAGTAGTCCAAATAACACAGAAGCTCTCATATCAAAAGTAAACCACCATCTTTACTTTAAAGTGCTGTATACAGGAAAACGTTGCTAAAACATTTCACCACACGCTGCTACGCGGAAGAAGAAAAGCAGATTTAAATTGCTCTTCGTTTTAAAATTCACCAACAGCCAACAATTTATTTATATCACACACTGCAGGAAAAGCAACCCACAAAAAAAGCCCAACGTCACTACTCCAACCATTTGCTAAAAGCAAACAAAAAGAACAAACCACAACACTACAATCTCATTACATGCACTAAACAGTTAAAAAAAAAAAAAGAACAAGAAAAACAAAACCCAACTCTCAATTATACCCACTTCAAAAAGCTGAACTCACTCCTGACTAAGCCACCACTACAAACCCGATACAGCAGTAACACCTTAAGCAACATTTAACAGTAATCCCGAAACACGAAAACAAAACAGAAACTTCTCTAACCGACTTACGATACGTAACGCATGCACATATCCTCTGACGCCTCCTGAAACGCCAACCAAAAAATAACGAAAGTCTATTTATAAGACATTAACTCAAAACCGAAACCACTCAGACTGCGTTCATCTCCCTCTCACTCTTCAAAATGAAGAGAAGAACGATCATCAACGGCTAAAGGCAGCTGCAAACACAACACCAAGAGCCAACTTCACGCTCAGGAGAGAACGCTCTATCTCCTCCTCGTGGGTTCGGGTGCTCTACACGTTCAGAGAAACTTCTCTAGTAACGAACTATAGAAATGATCCCTGAAAGTATAGTCTTAACACAACCGCCTCTGTTTTTCCGAGGTGGAGGAAATGCACACATATTTTACTGATGGTTACTTTTTCTTACACTGCTATTCTTTTTGAAATGTACACTGGACTACGTTGTCTGAAGAATCTTTCCACTACCGAAGCCCGACAAAGCATTTTGAACCCTTCTACGTTTCAGAAGACATTTCAAGTTGTCAATTTAATTAACATACGGTTTTTAAACAGCCAATCACACGCCAGTTATTTCCAACCCCGCTCCGTTTCGCGCAGCAGTTCCGCAGCATCAGGATTACGTAAAACGCTTACGACTACAACGTGCGCCGCTTTGAGGACTCGCCTCCTTTTAGCCTGGCGTTGGAAGTGAGATGTCTCACGAGAAAAACTTACAAGACAAAGTGGATGCTGAAAGCAAAGACCCGAAGCCAAAAACCTATGACGTTTGCAAAGCACACCATTTATGCTGTGATCAAAATAGCAAACATACAAATATTATTTGGAATTTTTTTCCAAACCAAGGAATATTTATGTAGATAAAAATTGTCTTTAAATAAGCAGGATAATACATCATTACCCTGCTTAAAGCTTTAGTAGCTTCCCAACTCTTGGGCTAAAGATAGAACTTCTCTAAATAGTTTACAGGGACTTCCCTGGGGTCCAGTGGTTAAGACTCCGCTTCCACCGCAGGGGGAGCCGGTTTCATCCCTAGTCAGGGAACTAGGATCCCGCATGCGCCAAGGCAAGGCCAGAAAAGAAATACTTTACAAGGTCCAGCACAGCCTGGCCCACACGCACCTCTCCAGCCTTATTTTGCACCAAATTCCCTCCCCCTCACTTCAGCCATAATGAACCACGTACTGTTTTCCACATACTCATCGTGTTCCTTTGCACAAGCTGTTCTCTCCGCCAGGAACGTTAGAAACGGTGGATATTTCACCTAACTCTGGAATATTCAATAAACCAATACAACATGGTGCCTGGCTTGAAACAGTGAGAAGAAAGTTAAACTTCCCATAAAGCTTGAAAAAAACTGAAAAATGAGAAAACATTCAGTGCTGGAGAAGAGGTGGGAAAACAGACACTCCTAAATGCAGTTGGCAGTGTGAACTGTTACAATGCTTTTGGAAAGCAATGCGGCAGTATCTATCAAAAACCTGAACCAGAAATCCTGCTTTGAATATTAAAAACCCATTATGTAAAGATTCATTACAAAGTATTTTATCAAAGCATTGTTTCTGGTTATACAAAACTGCAAAAAAATAAATCTTAATATCCACCATTAGAGGCACAGCTGAATAAATTATGGTACATACAGATAATAAAATATTAAGCAGTTAATTTAAATGAATTAGATCTCTATCAATTAGAATAGAGATAGACAAGATGTACTATTGAAAGCAAAAATCTAATAAGCAGGCAGGCAACTTTAGGGAGTTCAGTCAATGAGTGGTATTAGCTAAAATGATGGATTTAAAGCATCTAACAGAGTTTAGCAAGTAACAACTACTCTATAAATATTAAAAATTAAAATCCCAACATTCTTGTAACCACTAATAGGATTTAAGCTTAAAAAATAATCTATTTTGTGCAAGTAATACAGGTGCTTTCAGGAATGCCAAATTCAGTGGCACCCCATGTCTTGCTATGTATAGTACTGTAATCACAAGTGGGGTCCGGCTGCTCGCCGCTCAAAAGCCAATAAAGAGGCAAGCTTGGTGGACAGGAAAGTTTGCTTTATTTTGATGCAGGCAACGGGGTGGGGGGGGGGGGAGGTGGACTCCTGTCCAAAGGCCAAGACTCCCCCACCCCAACCAGTGAACAAGAGCTTTTACAGAGGGAAAGGACTACATGCAGAACCAGCACAGTCAGCTCTGACAGTCATCTTGAAATTGGTCATGCAGTGGTCTAGCCAGTGCCATCGTGACTGTTTTGGGTACAGTTAATCTTCAGTTCCAGGGTTGGTTTGTTTCCATTTCTTTGCGGCAAATTATCAGAATTGTGGCAGCTTGTGTCACGACTACAGCCTGGTCATCATGTAGTTAACTTCTTCCACCTGGCTGGGGTTTCAGTATCTATAAGACAGCTCACGGGATGTGGCTCAGAATATTATCTATAACCCTCGAGAAGGAACTAAAGGTCCTTCACTTTGATTACTGACTAAACTATTATTGTTTTTTCCTGTTTGACTGCTTTTCTTTGCTTCTGTATTTTATCACTCCTCTCATTAAACTTATTCTTTGGCTAAAGTTTTTCCACAGGCAAAAGGCAGGCTGAGGACATCGGGGGCAAGGTCTATAGGGTCCTGCTCCGTTTCAGTAGAAGCTCTTTAACCTGGGATTTATGGCATCCTATAGTCTGGTTCCAAGCTGCCTTTGTCTTTACTTCCTAAAACATCTCGTACATAACCTATCCTTCAGACACAACACACACACACACACACACATACACACACACACACTAAACTACTTGCCATTTGTAGGCTCCTTTGTTCTTTTGCTCCTGTATAAATTCCCTCTGCTCCATATTTGTTGAATAAACAACCAAATAAATAATTATAAACTTACAGTATCAAATTATCATCTATTTTCTTTTAGCATTAAAAACAACAACAACAAAAAAACAGCACAGAGCCTCTGAATATCTGCTGATATTGCACAGGTTGACTTCTCATGATTTTGTTGTCTTTTCATGTTTCTTGAAATAAATAAGTGAATTTCAAAAAGAACGAGAAAAGCAAGTTGCAGAATGTGTTTAGTATGATACCACTTTCATAAAGGTAGGTTAGCAACTTTAGAATATACGTATATCTTTGATTCCACTGGTTTAAATAACCTCTTTTATTTCTTTATTTACTTTTTATTTTTGGCTGTGTTGGGCCTTCGTTGCTGCATGCAGGCTTTCTCTAGTTGCGGCGAGCGTGCACTACTCTTTGTTGAGGTGTGTGGGCTTCTCAATGCAGTGGCTTCTCTTGTTGTGGAGCACAGGCTCTAGGTGTGCAGGCTTCAGTAGGTGTGGCACGTGGGCTCAGTAGTTGTTGTTCGCGGGCTCTAGAGCGCAGGCTCAGTAGTTGTGGCACACGGCCTTAGTTGCTCCACAGCGTGTGGGATCTTCCTGGACCAGGGCTCAAACCGGTGTCCCCTGCACTGGCAGGTGGATTCTTAACCACTCTGTCACCAGGGAAGCCCCTGTTTATCCTTCCTTCTTCTTTTTTTGGCCGCACTGCACGGCTTGCAGGATGTTAGTTCCCCCACCAGGGATCAAAACCAGGCCCTCGGCAGTGAAAGCACGGAGTCCTAACCACTGGACAACCAGGGAATTCCCTGAATATATGCTGTTTAATAAGGGCAGTTTTCAAAGGCATTACCACCTCCAACACGAAATTAAGCCTGCTTTTACTTAAAGGGAACTATATTACATCATATTCAGTAGAATTAAGAGATTTTGTTGATTTTTCTAGCCCATGGTTCAATGACAAGTGTGATATATTAAGAGACCCAACATAAAACCAGAATAGATTCCTAAAGTAGATGTCAGGAAAAATATCTGATTTATTAGCCTGGAAAAATTTAAAAGGGAGTCTCAAAAATCAGAAGAAAAATGTTTAGATGAAGAAAATGAAAAACAAATCAGCATACTAGACTAACAAGGCGAATTTTAAATTGCATTTAGCTAAACAAGCATCATAAAAGAAGAAATCATAGCACTGAGGGGGAAAAGAACAAACCATCTTAAAACAATTAAGGATATATCACAATTATGTTTAAAGCTACTTTAAATCCATTTCCCTTGTAAACCTTCCTCTCCTATAGCTCACTACAAGATCTGTTTGTCAACCAACAGAGTATGAAGGACCAGACATATATCTATTTCCCTGCAGTATATTCCAGGCCTAATTTACCCAGGAAAAGTAGCAACAGCACAGAAACCCTTCATTCAAAAAGGCAGATGGAGGATACTAACTACTTTAACACCCATTGAAGGGGGGGGGAAAAAAAGATTCAATTGCCATAGACTGACAAAATCACCTTTAAGAATAACATGAAGAAGGCTTCCCTGCAGGTGCAGTGGTTAAGAATCCGCCTGCCAATGC